CTGGAGACAACTGCAACGTTGTTTTGTGCCACAGTGAGCAACATTCAACAACAAAAGCTGAACAATCTCAGGCTGCTTAAGTCCCCTTATGGAGAATAATGTTGTGTTAGAGCTCTCACATTGTGACACAAAGCAGAGACTAGACTGCTACTCTAATATAATACAAGCTACACAATTCTCACTTCAACAGTATGGAGCCCCTATGAGGCAAGTTTCTCGTGCTCACAAGAAAGTCTTCCTTGCAAAAGACTATTATAACTCATCTTACTTTAAAGATTGGCAGCAGAGGTGGATATTCTGTGACATTTTGCCTGGTGAGTCCCTGACTACTAGACTTCAAGCTTGTGGACAAAGCAGGTGGGAAACTTTGTTGTTCTGTCTCTTTGTTGATCTCCTGTGCTTCCAGCTCTATGGGCAGCACCATATCCACCTCTTTATATCCGGAGATATCAGTGTGTGTTTCTACTGCTACTCCACTTCCCCTTCCAGATGTGATTAATGACCTTTGTGGATGTGAGTCATTGGTTAGGTATGTAGGATGAGTGTGTTGATGCAGGAAGAGAAAGTAGAAGATTAACTATTGAACTATTATTGTTTATAAACTATTATTATTAGACACTGCTTTGCTTTTTTCACCCACAGAAACTCCCTTACGTGCTCCTGAACTATCACCTCTTTAAAGCAGTGAACTCCCATATGAAAGGGCAGTAAGGTGCAGAAAAAGTACCCCAAATCTTTTATAAAAAGACAACTATGTAATTTGAATTTCCTCTTTTGTTCTTGTCTGTCCCTCTGCAGTGTTAGTAAGGCGTTAGGCTGTATGATTTGTGTGTAGCCTTCCCACTGGATTTACACCCTTGGTACAAAATTTGATTGCAAACTGGGAAGAAAGCTGTACGCATGTAAGAAAAATAAATGACACAGAAGTCATTATGTTCTTACCTTCCTTGAAGAGAAAACTGAAGAACAGGAAAGGGAAACCTTTAAATGCAGAGTGTATCATCTTCCCACCATCTTTGAGTTCAACCTCAAAAGAAGTAAGAAATGAAACATCAACTCACACAATAAGCTTTTTCTTTCTTTTTTTAACCATTTAAAAATAACCACATATTGTTGTAATCTATATTGAGGCTGAAAAAACAAAAAAACAGCTTAAGTTTGGATTCTTACTGCAATGTAGTATATTCAATAATATTTGTATAATCTGTTTTATGAAAATGTAAAAAACCCCCCCCAAAAAACAGAAGTTTGATCACATTTACAATTTTTTGCTATTTAGAAAAAAGGAATGATGCTGACCAAAGATAAATCCTGGTTTTAGTGGCTGATCAAGATAACAGTTTTACTCATAGTGATAGTCAAAACAAACACAGATCAATTGAATGTGTACAAAGTTATTCTCCCACTGAATTAAAACCAACCTGTGTTGAACTCCTTCTGCCTTCCTTGAGTTTTAAAAGTGTCCGGTTGTCGCCTCCAACTAAGTCTTTGTTGTGTAAAGTTTGGTTTCACTTGCCACCCTCTATGGTTTGTAGGGTCAGATATCTGCTTTAATTCAATGTCAACGCCCTCCTCCGATGGCTCATCATCTCCACAGTAAATCAAACAGCGACCTCCAGTGGTCATCAGACATCTGCAGCTAACCTTGAGGCACAGCTGGGAATAAATCACATCTAAATATGACCATTACTGTTGTTGTTGTTGTTGTTGTTGTTGTTGTTGCTATAATTAGAGGCAGTAGAAAACACGATAGCAGTGACAGCACTGCCAGTAAGTTTAATTAAATTTAATTCATTCTTAATTTATCAATAAAGTAAGGATGCACTCTTGGACCAAAATGTAGGTGGCAATATCTATTTACCAACAATAAGGCAACCAAACATATATATGGACCTCATTATAAAATTATGACATAGGACTTTTTTTTTTATTTAATAAGAGACATAAACAGCATTTACTGCCCCTAATACCTCTGCAATGGCACATCCGGACCAATCAGAGAGAGGCATTTTCTCTCTGTAATATTGTGGCAGACAGTAAATGAGCATTTAAGTTAATAATTCACCACATTTTGGTCCCCTCAAAAAGTTTTGTTTTTGTTTGTTTTGTATCCAATGATATATATTATTAATAATTAAAGGTTCCTATCACTATCACCCCCATACATATGAATGAAATTAGTCAAATCAATCTCCTCTCAGAATGAGCCTGTATTTGTATATTTATGATCAGTTTTTCCTCTTTCTTAAAAATATATTTATCCAGTTTTTACAGCAGGTGTGATTCAGTTGTTGTTATTGTTCTGCTGTGAGGAGCCTTAATTCTTTTAGATATAATCAAGGACAACAAGGACATTGAACACAAGTGAAATCACAACATTAAGACGTCATGTTTTAATGAAGTGAACAAAAATAAATAAATATATAAATAATAAATTATTAAAAAACTAAGAGAGTAGATCACAGAAATCATGAAGGACCTCCATGAAAATCATGCACAGGTTAATATTCCCAGTGTTTGACAGGGATTAGCACACTGATGCAAAACAGTATTAAATGCACAGCCAGCACAGTTACAGTCATACAGTTGTCATATCTGAGGGTAATAATAAATAACATTTGTAAACAGAAACACTGAACATTTTAGTGCAAAACAAATACACATAATATTATGCAGACAATAATATGTCTAATATGTCACATATTATGTCTAATTTAAACTTTATAGATCCATATAAATGGTTATAGAGCTTCTCATTTTGTAATATAACCTGACTGCTTCATATCATATTTATAGATCTATAGATAGACTGAAACATTTTGCAAAGAGTAAAAACGGAAGAGTCTCCTCAAAGTGAGACTGAACAATAAAGTATAAATCTTCTTCATCTGAAGAAAAGTCAGTGTTGAACAAACATTTATCAATGATTATTGGTATTATTTGTTATTATCTGAAAAGATCTCAGTCAGTCATTACCAACTGGGAAATGCAGTACAGCAGTTTAAAAGACGTTGGTTCATCTGATCTTGAACTGGTTGCCTTTATTCTTAGATAGGAAAAGGCAGGGAGAGAGAGAGAGAGAGAGAGAGAGAGAGAGAGAGAGAGAGAGAGAGGGGATGACACACAGCAAAGGGCCTGATGTTGTCTTTTGAGCAGGAATGTGATGACTGCAACACAAACACAAACAAAGGACACTACCATGAACAACACAATGATGAAAATGAAATCTGTGAAAAAAGAGGAAAATTAGTGACAAACACTCAACATTCATAAAGAAACTACAGATCAAAAGGTAATAACTGAGAACACTTAGAGGTTAACTTACTGAAATAAATGTGATCAGACCCAGATTCCTGAAACCTGAAAACCAAAAAAGACATGAGCTATATAGTATTGATCAGTCTCTGAATGTGTATGTTTGGAAGTGTTTCTCACCATCAGCAGACGACTGTTTGCCCTCAGGAATCATCATAAACACCTCTATCTGAGGACCAGAGAGCACTCGCACTGCACATCCAACCTCTGTCCTGTTGACATGGTAACCAGACAGCACAGTAGTCGTGGTGACAGCGACTGTACCATTGGTGTTGGTGACACTGACAGAGCTGTAGTTTGAGAAGTGGAGGTCTTGTTGCAGGACTCTTAATGTTACTGTGGGAGCAGGTCGACCTGTGGCCGAGCAGGACACAACTGCCTCTTCAGGAGAGTTTGATTCTCTAACATGTAGGATGGGTTCATGCAGCTCTGCACAGGACACACAGGGACACACAGGGACAGACAGGGACACACAGGGACACACAGGGACAGACATCACATTAATGAAGGTGTTACAAAGACATCAGCTTCTGACAGGATACTTTTTATCCAGTATGTAAGTTTTAGAAGAGATTAATATTGGAAATGTCTCTAATAATGAATAAATGTTCTTACCATAGAGTTTGATGCATGTTACACCAATAAGAGCACCTTCAGGGTAGGAATTAAACAAACATTGAAAGCAGCCTTCATCCTGCTCTGTCAGGTTCCTGATAACTATGGAGTTGTTCTGCAGTCCAGCATCTTTAAACTCCACTTTATCAATAAAGTCAGGATTCACTCTTGGACCAAAGGGTTTGCTGGAAGTAGCAAGAGTCTTCTCTCCCTCAGGTTTCTGCCATGTGACTTGAACAACATCTTTATTTTGCATCAGCTGACAGTTTAAATGAGCCTCTTCTCCCACTGCTGCCATCACAGTCTGCTGTGTCTGTACCAGAGCTGTTAGACCTGCAGGAGAAGATAGTTTCAGAGATGTGGCTTCAACTGAGTGTGTGAGGTAATAACCAACCAGGCTGATGTGTGTATTTCCCTCCAAGATTTTACTTTTGGGGTGGATTGTTGCAACCTAAAATGGCAGCCAGCATTTTGACGATTATTGGTTGAATTTGCACTCGATGTATGATTCATCACTAAATTAACAATCACAATGTGGTTGTAACAACTGTGGACAAAGCCAGTCTGTTTACTGATCTGCTTTTAGCACTATGGACAGCGCAACACCTGTCAGTGGCATCAACAGATGTGGTTATTGAGTTTTCTGGATATAAGGTTTATGTGTGTGAGATTGAGAGAGAAAGAGAAAGTTAGGATGCTGCTTTGTCTCCTCACCCACCCTCCCCAACACACAATGTTGACCCATGACTGCAAGCCTCATGATCAGCACCATGAATGAGGCATTGAGATGTGATAGGAGGCTACCCGCAGGAGAAATCGGTTACAGGAACAATTCAAGTAAAATGTATTAATATATCAATATATTAAAAGTAAGGCAACGCAGCAGCACAAGGACAGAAATAGAGTGCAGTCGGCTACACAGTACAGATCAATATAGGGTGTAAAATAAATAAATAATACAGGCATCTAAAACCAAAATAGGAAGAGTAAGAGTGACTGTAACTACTGTGAATATTTAGAAAAACTGTAGTGAATATAAAGGTGTTTCCCTTCAACTCAGCATCACTTACCTTTAAATAAGCCAATAAATATGTACATCTGCAACATCCTTCTCTTCTCCACTGCTGCAACAAAGAACACTTTCAGTTTCACTTGTGAGACGACGTAGATATAAAGCGATAGAAAGAAAGAGGGATGGAGGGGAGTGGTTGGTGGGAGAGGTTTCCTCTGGGGTTCTTTAAATGACCACATATCTGGGAATCAGAGATGGATTCATGTTGTCATTTCATTTACGATGCTGGACTATCAAGGTAAAATAAATAAAGGAAAAGGGCAAAAGTATTTTAGAAAAAAAAGTGTATCTCAATTAGATTCAGTCAGCAAGTCTATTACACATGTTTTATAATCCTCCTCTACAAGATATTTAATAAACCCTAACCCTAACCCTGTTGCCATCTTTCCTTCTGTGTGGCAAACACTCACTGTGGACAGGTAAGTTCCAGGTAGACGATAGCCTGTTGGTCACCGTGGCTGCCATAAACACTATTAACCGAACATATAAAAATATGGGCTTCAGTTTTATAGAATCACAAAAGACTCTTTCTTAATAAGAAATTGCTAATTAGTTGTTTAAAATGAAATATAAACAGCGCGGGACTGTGACTAGCTACCTAAAAAAGCGGACCGCAGTGAATATAAAGGCGTCGCCCTCAGATCAGCATCACCTACCTTTAAATAAGCCAGTAAATATGTAGACCTGCAACAACTTGCTCCGTTCCTCTGCTGCACCAGGAACACTTTCAGTTTAGCCTCTGAGAAGCCTTTTAAATATGTGAGACTGAAAGTGATAGAGAGAGAGAGAGAGAGAGAGGGAGGGGGGGGGTGGTGGTGGTGGTGGTGGTGGTGGGTAGGTGGGGGGGGTGATGGTGGTGGGTAGGTGGGAGGGGGTTCCTCTGGGGTTCTTTACCTGACTACATATCTGGGAATCAGGGATGGATTCATGCTGTTTCAATTCAACTGAACTGGGGTCACATTTCAGGACTTAAAGGAAGAGTACGCTGAATATATTTTTACATGACAAACGGATCACATTTATGATGCTGGACTACATCAAGGTAAAGTAAATTTAATTTACTTTGACTTTAAATTTAACAAGACTAATGTGTATTAACATTAGTCTAACTGATGTCATTATTACTGACAAAGAAACAAAACTCATCAGAATCATAAAGTATTGATCAGTCTCTGAATGTGTATGTTTGGAAGTGTTTCTCACCATCAGCAGACGACTGTTTGACCTCAGGAATCATCATAAACACCTCTATCTGAGGACCAGAGAGCACTCGGGCTGCACATCCAACCTCTGTGCTGTTGCTACGGAAACCAGACAGCACAGCTGTGGTGGTGACAGCGACTGTACCGTTGGCGTTGGTGACACTGACAGAGCTGTAGTTTGAGAAGTGGAGGTCTTGTTGCAGGACTCTTAATGTTACTGTGGGAGCAGGTCGACCTGTGGCCGAGCAGGACACAACTGCCTCTTCAGGAGAGTTTGATTCTTTAACATGTACGATGGGTTCATGCAGGAAGAAAGAGGGATGGAGGGGAGTGGTTGGTGGGTGGGGGGTTCCTTTGGGGTTCTTCACATGACCCCATATCCGGGGAATCAGAGATGGATTCATGTTGTCATTTCATTTACGATGCTGGACTATCAAGGTAAAATAAATAAAGGAAAAAACAAGGAAAAAGGCAAAAGTATATGTAAAAAAAGAGTATCTCAATTACATACAGTCATCAAGTCTATTACAAATGTTTTATAATCCTCCTCTAATACAAGATATTTAATAAAACATGTCTTACCAGCCTCTTGAAGTATCTCAGTAACACAAACTCAGTGTTTAAATCGTCTTAAACTCTTGTGTTTACTAGTTCTTCATTATCTGCACATCCCCGTTAACAGCTCTAAAATAACCTCCATGTTATTCTTTGTACACCAGAGGGATTCATAGTTAAGTTTAAAAAGTCTTTATATGATACGTTTGTGGGATTAACCCCATTTACAGGCACAAAAATGACCAATATAGAGGATTTACACAAGTTCACAAGTTTAATTCTTACTTGTTATTTTAACAAAGCCATAATATAACACTATTCATGTTTAGGCACCCTTTGAATGCTTCTTTGGCATAATTAGATGACACAAGTTACAAATACTCAAAATACTTCACATATTGTCAAGTCACAAGAAAGGAACAACACTACATACTAGTGTTGTCTTGAGTATGTACATACACTGGTTAATGTAGTATAATGGTGTGTTCACAACTGAAAAAATATAACATATAAAAACATGTACACACTAAATTATATAAAAATGGTATAAAACAGTATAAAAATCAGAGAAGCTGCCATAAAGTTATAATAATTGTCACAAACGATGACGAAACAATGTACAGGGACGAGATATTTTACCTGCAAAGCTCTGATACATCTTTTGTGTTATTTTGAGGCTCAACATATTGAACAGTAATCACCTCCTCCCACAATGACAATGAAACTGTGTCAGTCAGATTCATTCTACAGTTGTACTGATGTTGAAGGTGATGGATTCAGGTTATCACTTGGTTCAGTCTTCACAGGCGACGGCCGTTGTCTGACCCCATCGCTCTCCTGTGTGACCGAAGATGTTTCGGCCCTTCAGATACAAACAGTGTTTCATTACTATATGAATACTGCATAAATAAAGTAATCTGAACAGGTTATACACACACAGTGATCAGAATTTACTTTACACATGCAGTAAAGATTAATAGGTAGATATATAGACACAATGTGACAATATACAACAGAGAGAAGACAAATAATGTTGAGTTACAAGTGAAGAATGACAGTATAAAGAGTGTCTTACTTCTGAGTGTCGTTGGTTGTCGTCTCGTTCATCTCAGTGTCGCCGTGTGACAGATTGGAGGGTGCTGATGCAGTTAAAGCTGAACAACATTTATCAGCTTTCATAGACTGAGATTCAGATTTTGTTTTACGGAAATAGATTAATGCAGTAATTGGACCACAGACCCCGACCACAGAGAATACAATGATCAAAGTCCAAACTGTGAGAAAAAGAGAAAAATTAGATTGACACGCAGCAGTTATAAAACAACAACAGATCATATAGGAATATCACATCTGAACATTAACTTACAGAGATCCCTGTCTTTAGATCCAGATTCATCATCAAAACGTGTAAAAAGAAACAAAAAACATCAGAATCATAAAGTATTGATCAGTCTCTGAATGTGTATGTTTGGAAGTGTTTCTCACCATCAGCAGACGACTGTTTGTCCTCAGGAATCATCATAAACACCTCTATCTGAGGACCAGAGAGCACTCGCGCTGCACATCCAACCTCTGTGCTGTTGCCACGGTAACCAGACAGCACAGCTGTGGTGGTGACAGCGACTGTACCGTTGGTGTTGGTGACACTGACAGAGCTGTAGTTTGAGAAGTGGAGGTCTTGTTGCAGGACTCTTAATGTTACTGTGGGAGCAGGTCGACCTGTGGCCGAGCAGGACACAACTGCCTCTTCAGGAGAGTTTGATTCTCTAACATGTAGGATGGGTTCATGCAGCTCTGCACAGGACACACAGGACACACAGGGACACACAGGACACACAGGGACAGACAGGACACACAGGGACACACAGGACACACAGGAACAAACAGGACACACAGCAAATTAATTACATCAGTGGAGAATGAGGCAGATTGAGATACATCAATAGAGAATGATTATTAAAAATAATACACATTTCCCTCTCTTTTTCTAGAACTGCTGCCTTGATACAGTTACTGATGTGAGTGACAAGTAAAGCCGATAGCGCCCTCTGCTGTATGAATATTTAAAATGTTCTTACCATAGACCTGGAGACAGGTTATAGCAGTGAGAGCACCATCAGGGTAGGTACTGAACAAACAGTGATAGCAGCCTTCATCCTGCTCTGTCAGGTTCCTGATAACTATGGAGTTGTTCTGCAGTCCATCATCTTTAAACTCCACTTTATCAATAAATTCAGGAATCACTCTTGGACCAAAGTATTTGTTGTGGATGGCAATATTCTTCTCTCCCTCAGGTGAACCTTTCTGCCATGTGACTTGAACAACATCTTTATTTTGCATCAGCTGACAGTTTAAATGAGCCTCTTCTCCCACTGCTGCCATCACAGTCTGCTGTGTCTGTACCAGAGCTGTTAGACCTGCAGGAGAAGATGGTTTCAGAGGTAAGTAAGTGTGTGTGTGTGTGTGTGTGTTGTTCAGGCTGCAGTCTGACCTGTTAGCCAGAGTGAAGCACAGTGGAAATATAACTTCCCTTTTATAAATAATCTTTTTTAAATAACAATAATAATTGTAACATTTTCTGTTCGTTTCCTTCTGGATGCATTATTCTTCTGTAGCTCAACTATTAAAAATTAAGGTGAATTTGCCAATTTTACCATCAACCAGCTGAAACGTGTAAACTAAAACATTGTAAATGTCTTTCCTGCACAGTTTAGATCTTTATCCTTATCTTTATTTATTTATATTTTAATTTTTTTGGCGTGCTTTTTATGCACCAAGACAAATTCCTTGTACTTGGCAATAAACCCGATTCTGATTCTGATGAATCGCCAACAACGTGGTTAACTTAACTGCTGAATTACAGTAAACAAAGAACAACAAAGTCTCAGTTTAATTAAAATCATTTATTTATATAAAATGACAGAAACAAAAAGTATTAATCTTACCTTTCTGAAAAACTACAAACGTACAAAATAAATATAAAACTTCACGTTGTGTCATCTTTACTGAATCTACCGCCAACTCATTGAAACTGAAAGCTGTCACTGTACGTTAACTGCGTGCGCACTTCTGTGTAAAGTGGGGAGGCGGGTGTCATAGAAACAACTATTTACCAACAATGTAGAAACACGAGCTTTTACAGTATATAGAGAACATTATACATTTATAACAAAAGCCTATAATTCAATAATAAATGGTAGATAAACTAATTCGCTGTTTAGAATACGATATAAACAGCGAGTGACACTTATCACCCCTATAACAACACAATGGTACATCCCACTACTCAGAGATTTGGATTAGTTAATAATTAATATATTACTGTCTGACCTCTCAGTGCACTGAATGAGGGATTTCCACATAATAAAGTTAAACTTAAGTGGTGTAAATCTGTCTGTTAAGTCAAAAGATTGGAGTAAACAGCTCAAGAGTCACAAATAAAATGTCTCAACACGTTTGAAAAGTAACTGGAAGATTTGAAGATGTGGGTTTTCTGTCTATTTAGTCTTAATCACTACATTTCAGATTGTGTTTCTCTAACTCATTCATGAATCCAGAACAGATATTTACCAGCGTGTGTAAAGTGTGAAATGTGTACCAAATTTCCCAATCAGGCATGGCTAGGGCAGCCTCTAATGCTTGTGGGGCTGCTACACACATTGTTTGTTATCTGCCAGTAAATCCAGAGAAGTTAATGGTTTGGAGCTCATGTATGTTGCCCTTGAAGCTCAGACGGTGTCCTATAGTGCAGATAATGTGTGCATCAGGTTGTAGGCAGTGTTCATTCTGACTGCACTCACTAAACTAGCTGGACCACATGTTCAGCTGAGCCATGCAGCATCTCCACAGGGTTGGAGGCCTTTGTTTGGTTTATGGGTTAAAGCAGTGGTTCCCAACCAGAGATCACAGGGGGTGCGCACAACTTTGTCTGCTGTAAAATCCCAATAACACATCCAATTGGATAATCAAAACTCTGTATAATCCAAATTAAAACCTATTTTTGGTCCACATTTAAATTCATTAAGCTATTTATTACCTATTTAGTGTGTGTATGCGGGTAGGGGATTAAACTACTAAGTACCTCAAAATGATACTTTAATACAATAATTGAGTAAATGTATTAGACTGTACTCAGTTGTATTGATGTAATCAGAACTTCTTACCCAGAATATAAATATTCTGATATTTGTTTTTATGTAAATACGCTCAGATGTTCATCATCACCTTTAAATATCCTCTTTGTGATATCTTCCAGATTAAACTACTCAACAGTATATAAAGTAATTAAAGCAGTTTCACCTCCAGCAGCTACAACATGAAAATACAGCTTCCATAGTAATACATCAGAGTTGATAAATGCTTTAATATGATATATAATAATGTAACAATGACAGGGAGATGCACTGTGTGTTATAATGGATATTTTATATTATTGTACAATGATTCATCTTGTTTAGAAACAATCTACATATAAAAATATAAGACTACATCATATATCATCACCTTTAAATATCTTCTTTATGATATGAATCTTCGCTTACGGCCATACCACCCTGAACACGCCCGATCTCGTCCGATCTCGGAAGCTAAGCAGGGTCGGGCCTGGTTAGTACTTGGATGGGAGACCGCCTGGGAATACCAGGTGCTGTAAGCTTTTACACTTCTCTGTACAGACAGCAGGGGGCGCTGCTGCTGCTACACTGGAGGAGACAACTGGGAGCTGACATAACTCTTGTGACTCCTTACTGTGACCACGATACTCAAATTAACATTTATCCCATAATTCCTCTTTATTTTTAGAAACCAGATGATAACATATTCAACAGATGATCCAAAAACAATACAAGTTTTTAAAATTATTAAAAGTTCAACGAAGCAGACAGTAAATCATAGTTCAGAATAACTGCGAGTTCTTACGAAACATAAAGCCTCTTTATAGGTGATATAACAATATGAAGTCATATTTCTACACACAGTTCACAAGACGAATCATTTAATGATGACACAGTAAATGCAAACATAAAAGAAAATAAATGTAACAATGTGTTGAATTCACTTTATTTGTGGTTTGATTTTTGGCATTTTCAATCATCATATATGTCGCAGGTTTTATACAATAAAGCTGTTTACAGGAAACGGTTAAATAAAAGTATAAAGAGCTCATTTAAAACAGTGAAATTATCATTTGTGTATTTGTAGATTTATTCTGTTATTTATGGGCCGAACATTTTTTTTTCAAAGATTGTTCATACAGAGAATTTAGAGCATCACAAGTGATATCTTCACAATTATTTAAGCAACATATTTCATTCTTTCCCTCAAAAGCTGTATAACTTGGGAGCCTGAATAGCTCAGTGGGTAGAGCTGGCAGCCCCGTGTACCGAGGCTCAGTCCTTGCTGCAGCTGCCCAGAGCTCAAATCCAACCTTCAGCCCTTTGCTGCGGTCATCCCCTCTCTCTGTCTGTCTTCACCTGTCACTATAATAAAGGCAGTGTAGTGTTTAAAGTTTATGTATATAATAGTTCTTCCCTACTGTCCATGTCCTGCACACAGACTGGCTCATTTTATCCTCCCTGTATAACTCCTCTCCTCTGCCTTACTGAAAATGTCAGTCGGCCTCGATTAACTTTCATTTTGTTTTTGTGTCTTTGCCTCTCACAGAAAAACATAAATTCCTACAGTTAAAAAATGATGCATAAAATAATCTTTAGCTGTCAAATAATATTGAACTTCCTGGGTCCACGCTACAAGCTATATACATCAAAATACAGATCGCTATGATAGGAGCTTTTTCATATCAGGTTCTTACCTGATGAGTGGTTGGTTGGTTTGTTGGTTGGTTGATTCACCGGCTGTGGTCCAGGCAGGAGATTGTCGGCACCAGTTGGTGAAAATGTCTTCAGTGAAGGAAATTCTCTGAAGCTGCAACCTGCTGACACTGAGTTCCTTATATAATGTCCAGAAAATACAATATACACGGGCTGTAAGGGAAGAGGCTGTCACCCGTCACAAATAGATTATACACTCTGTTTGCTGCTGCTTTGACCAAACCGCAACTTTCTCTCCTGTGACCCAAGTTCTTGGTGTTAAAATGACAAACAGTGTCAAATACTAAGAAAACAAACAGGAACCAAATTAGACTGTGCTTTTAGCTGATTAGCACCTTTAACGTTTTTAAAACAACTTCCCACTTCATGCATAGTCTTAGTTGTATTTTTCCAGTACAACTTCCTCCTTTGAGCATACAATGCTCACACAATGAGAGAAAATCAAATACCTTAAACACATAGTTCAGAATAAGACAAAACACAACTTGTCTAGTGTACTTACTCAGTACCATAATCATGTTCTACTCCAAATGCATACCTGCTGTCTGTGTAAATGTTGGTGGTCTTTTCTGATGCCAACGTCCAGGCTTCAGTAAGCCTGTGCTGAGAACAACACCATGTCTGGATTTTAAAATGGTGTTTCCTGTAAATAAGATCTATCTTAATACTGCAACACAGTTGGTGAGGGGAGCACAGTAGCAGAGTTACAAGTAGTACAGTGTTTAACTGTGATAAAGAATTAAAATTTTTGTGAAACCAGCGAGGTTAAACTCTAAATATGACATTAAAGTGAGAGCAGTTATTGTATTTCTCCCACTGTAAGAAGACAGTGTTATAGTCAGTGATGCCTCAGCTAGAGAAGATTCACCATGTAAAGGGCTCAGAGGTGAAACTGCTTTACAACTTATTCAGAAAGAGTTTAATACCTGGAAGATAAAACACAACCTTCATTTGAATGAAGGCAGATTGATTCAGATATCGCTTACAGACAGCTCTGTTTTTAAGATACAAGTTTACTATGATGCAAATAACTCGGGTGACTCCATACTGTATATTCAAATCAACATTTTCCCGTAATCCCTCTTTCAATTATACGATGACCTATTTAGAAGAATATCCAAAAACAATACAAGTTTACAAAATCCTTAAAAAGTACAACAGAGCATTTCATGTATTTCAGTATTTCATGATGCAAAACATATCAAACAAACGATCACCGAGGCAACTGAGCTGTATGAAGTTTTGCAAACCAAAAAGAGAAAAACATTGACTTCATTTTCAAATAAATAAACATATACTGGAGTATTCAAGAAAACCTGTTTCTGAGTTATGTCAGCTCCCAGTTGTTTCCTCCAGTGTAGCAGCAGCGCCCCTGTTGTCTGTACAGAGAAGTGTAAAAGCGTACAGCACCTGGTATTCCCAGGCGGTCTCCCATCCAAGTACTAACCAGGCCCGACCCTGCTTAGCTTCCGAGATCGGACGAGATCGGGCGTGTTCAGGGTGGTATGGCCGTAAGCGAAGATTCATATCACAAAGAGGCTATTTAAAGGTGATGATGAACATCTGAGTGTATTTACATAAAAACAAATATCAGAATATTTCTATAAATTCTGGGTAAGAAGTTCTGATTACATCAATACAACTGAGTACAGTCTAATACATTTACTCAGTTACTTTATTTAAGTATAATTTTGAGGTACTTGTAGTTCCTCTTATTTTCTACTCCACTACTTTAATGTGATATCTTCCAGATTAAACTACTCAACAGTATATAAAGTAATTAAAGCAGTTTCACCTCCAGCAGCTACAACATGAAAATACAGCTTCCATAGTAATACATCAGAGTTGATAAATGCTTTAATATGATATATAATAATGTAACAATGACAGGGAGATGCACTGTGTGTTATCATGGATATTTTATATTATTGTACAATTATTCGTCTTGTTTAGAAACAATCTACAAATAAAAATATAAGACTACATCATATAACAGCATCTTTAAATATCCTCTTTGTGATATGAATCTTCGCTTACGGCCATACCACCCTGAACACGCCCGATCTCGTCCGATCTCGGAAGCTAAGCAGGGTCGGGCCTGGTTAGTACTTGGATGGGAGACCGCCTGGGAATACCAGGTGCTGTAAGCTTTACACTTCTCTGTACAGACAGCAGGGGGGCGCTGCTGCTGCTGCTGCTGCTGCTACACTGGAGGAAACAACTGGGAGCTGACATAACTCTTGTGACTCCTTTCTGTGACCACGATACTCAAATTAACATTTATCCCATAATGCCTCTTTATTTTTAGAAACCAGATGATAACATATTCAACAGATGATCCAAAGACAATATGCGTTTTTAAAATCATTAAAAGTTCAACGAAGCAGACAGTAAATCATAGTTCAGAATAACTGCGAGTTCTTACGAAACATAAAGCCTCTTTATAGGTGATATAACAATATGAAGTCATATTTCTACACACAGTTCACAAGACGAATCATTTAATGATGACACAGTAAATGCAAACATAAAAGAAAATAAATGTAACAATGTGTTGAATTCACTTTATTTGTGGTTTGATTTTTGGCATTTTCAATCATCATATATGTCGCAGGTTTTATACAATAAAGCTGTTTACAGGAAACGGTTAAATAAAAGTATAAAGAGCTCATTTAAAACAGTGAAATTATCATTTGTGTATTTGTAGATTTATTCTGTTATTTATGGGCCGAACATTTGTCTGTAATCTTACAATAAATTCTCTATTGTTTAGCAGAATTTGTAAATTGCTGTTTAAAATCATTACAGCAAAACGTTAATTTGTTTTCCCTATTTATCCTACATAGTGCACAGGCTTTCCATTTTTACATATGATTGTAATTGCATAATTGTTTATAGTTTTACCCCTGTAGTGACAACCTATGTCAATATAGTCAAACCTACAAATAACAACTGTAAAGACTCGCCCACTTGTGATTTTACGTTCTCCACGTACATTATTACAGAGGGCGTCAACTTCTTCATCATTGCTCACGATGAAGGTATTTATTGGCTTGCATTCTTCTCCATGATACTCCTCGTAGTCCTCATTGATTGGCTCCATTTTTGTATCACAGTTATTGCCTGTCATCTGATTGTCAACATGCTTCTGATAGAAGTCCAGAGCCTCAGTGAGCGCTGTGGCAGAGATCAGCACGAGAAGCAGACAGGCAGTTTGGATCTTCATGGTTCACTGGTGAAGGAAAAACAAAAGATTGTTCATACAGAGAATTTAGAGCATCACAAGTGATATCTTCACAATTACTTTACCAACATATTTCATTCTTTCCCTCAAAAGCTGTATAACTTGGGAGCCTGAATAACTCAGTGGGTAGAGCTGGCAACCCCGTGTACCGAGGCTCAGTCCTTGCTGCAGCTGCCCAGAGTTCAAATCCAACCTGCAGCCCTTTGCTGCGCGTCATCCCCCTTTCTCTGTCTGTCTTCACCTGTCACTATAATAAAGGCAGTGTAGTGTTTTAAGTTTATGTACGTGTATATAATAGCTCTTCCCTACTGTCCATGTCCTGCACACAGACTGGCTCATTTTATCCTCCCTGTATAACTCCTCTCCTCTGCCTTACTGAAAATGTCAGTCGGCCTCGATTAACTTTCATTTTGTGTTTGTGTCTTTGCCTCTCACAGAAAAACATAAATTCCTACAGTTAAAAAATGATGCATAAAATAATCTTTAGCAGTGAAACAATATTGAACTTCCTGGGTCCACGCTACAAGCTATATACATCAAAAAACAGATCGCTATGATAGGAGCTTTTTCATATCAGGTTCTTACCTGATGAGTGGTTGGTTGGTTTGTTGGTTGGTTGATTCACCGGCTGTGGTCCAGGCAGGAGATTGTCGGCACCAGTTGGTGAAAATGTCTTCAGTGAAGGAAATTCTCTGAAGCTGCAACCTGCTGACACTGAGTTCCTTATATAATGTCCAGAAAATACAATATACACAGGCTGTAAGGGAGGAGGCTGTCACCCGTCACAAATAGATCATACACTCTGTTTGCTGCTGCTTTGACCAAAGCGCAACTTTCTCTCCTGTGACCCAAGTTCTTGGTGTTAAAATGACAAACAGTGTCAAATACTAAGAAAACAAACAGGAAACAAATTAGACTGTGCTTTCAGCTGATTAGCACCTTTAATATTTTTAAAACAACTTCACACTTAATGCATAGACTTAGTTGTATTTTTCCAGAACAACTTCCTCCTTTGAGCATACAATGCTCACACAATGAGAGAAAATCAAATACCTTAAACACATAGTTCAGAATAAGAGAAAACACAACTTGTCTAGTGTACTTACTCAGTACCATAATCATGTTCTACTCCAAATGCATACCTGCTGTCTGTGTAAATGTTGGTGGTCTTTTCTGATGCCAACGTCCAGGCTTCAGTAAGCCTGTGCTGAGAACAACACCATGTCTGGATTTTAAAATGGTGTTTCCTGTAAATAAGATCTATCTTAATACTGCAACACAGTTGGTGAGGGGAGCACAGTAGCAGAGTTACAAGTAGTACAGTGTTTAACTGTGATAAAGAATTAAAATTTTTGTGAAACCAGCGAGGTTAAACTCTAAATATGACATTAAAGTGGGAGCAGTTATTGTATTTCTCCCACTGTAAGAAGACAGTGTTATAGTCAGTGATGCCTCAGCTAGAGAAGATTCACCATGTAAAGGGCTCAGAGGTGAAACTGCTTTACAACTTATTCAGAAAGAGTTTAATACCTGGAAGATAAAACACAACCTTCATCTGAATGAAGGCAGATTGATTCAGATATCGCTTACAGACAGCTCTGTTTTTAAGATACAAGTTTACTATGATGCAAATAACTCGGGTGACTCCATACTGTATATTCAAATCAACATTTTTCCCATAATCCCTCTTTCAAGTATACGATGACCTATTTAGAAGAATATCCAAATACAATACAAGTTTACAAAATCCTTAAAAGTACAACAGAGCATTTCATGTATTTCAGTATTTCATGATGCAAAACATCAAACAAACGATCACCGAGGCAACTGAGCTGTATGAAGTTTTGCAAACCAAAAAGAGAAAAACATTGACTTCATTTTCAAATAAATAAACATATACTGGAGTATTCAAGAAAACCTGTTTCTGAGTTATGTCAGCTCCCAGTTGTCTCCTCCAGTGTAGCAGCAGCAGCAGCAGCAGCAGCGCCCCCTGCTGTCTGTACAGAGAAGTGTAAAAGCTTACAGCACCTGGTATTCCCAGGCGGTCTCCCATCCAAGTACTAACCAGGCCCGACCCTGCTTAGCTTCCGAGATCGGACGAGATCGGGCGTGTTCAGGGTGGTATGGCCGTAAGCGAAGATTCAAATCACAAAGAGGCTATTTAAAGGTGCTGATATATAACTTAGTCTTATATTTTTATATGTAGATTGTTTCTAAACAAGATGAATAATTGTACAATAATATAAAATATCCATGATAACACACAGTGCATCTCCCTGTCATTGTTACATTATTATTTATCATATTAAAGCATTTATCAACTCTGATGTATTACTATGGAAGCTGTATTTTCATGTTGTAGCTGCTGGAGGTGAAACTGCTTTAATTACTTTATATACTGTTGAGTAGTTTAATCTGGAAGATATCACATTAAAGTAGTGGAGTAGAAAATACGAGGATTAAACTACAAGTACCTCAAAATTATACTTAAATAAAGTAACTGAGTAAATGTATTAGACTGTACTCAGTTGTATTGATGTAATCAGAACTTCTTACCCAGAATTTATAGAAATATTCTGATATTTGTTTTTATGTAAATACACTCAGATGTTCATCATCACCTTTAAATATCCTCTTTGTGATATGAACCTTCGCTTACGGCCATACCACCCTGAACACGCCCGATCTCGTCCGATCTCGGAAGCTAAGCAGGGTCGGGCCTGGTTAGTACTTGGATGGGAGACCGCCTGGGAATACCAGGTGCTGTAAGCTTTTACACTTCTCTGTACAGACAGCAGGGGGCGCTGCTGCTGCTGCACTTAATTAATAAACACAGAAGATTTATTTTTCTTCTTTAAAAGGTCGAACAAAAAGTTAGGCTACAAATGGAGTCACTCATTAATCAGTTACATAAAATACAAATGTCAACTTAATCTCACTATTGTCAGCAGTTGTGCTTCAGACTAACTTACACAGAAATACAGAAATAAATTAATGTGGGTGTAGAAATAGATTTGTAGTTATTTATGTTATGTTTAATTACCAACTTTTATTAATGTATTTGTACATTTAATAATGGATTATTTGTTTCTGGGAAAGTAAAGATATATATCACACTATTTTATTTTTACATAGATATACAAATAACAAAAACAATTATAATAAACATCAATATTAAGGCTATTATTATTATTATTATTATTATTATTATTATTATTAATATTATTTAGCTTTAAATAAAACTACGTATAACTAACATCAGTTTCTGGTTGTCTGTCTTTATGCTGGTGGAGTTGTTTGCTGCCCTCCAGTGGTCACAGTGAGGAACTACAACAAAGCGACACTCAAGTTAGACATGATCACATAATGATAACACTTCCGGTCAGTGCTTTCAAAATAAATCCATAACCCAACTGAAAAAATCAGTAACTGATGAAATACCAGAAATGATTCTGTTTATTGATGTCTCTACACAAGAGGTGTCCGTATATTGTCCAAATATGTCTTTTAAATGAAGATACACCACTCTATATCATTATTAATGTTTGGTAAGATAAGTATCGGGCTGTATTTTTTACCGGTAATAAAAAGAAGAACAGAGTGAAACGTCTGTTCTCCATAAACAACCTTTGTGATAACGTTAGCTAACTGTTAGCGAGCAGAAAACGTAAGATGGAAAGTTGTCTGACAAACAGCTGGTTTAACAGTTTATAATATTATCTTTTATCATATCATAATATTTTAAACCTGCAATTTAAAAAACCCGACAGTGAGATCAACGTTGACGTCAGTAAAACAGTATGTCCCAAACAGGTATCCGTATTTGAGTCTGTCCGGTTGTCTGAAGCTAAAGTTAACTCAACCAGCTACAGAGAAATTGGTCCCTTTTTTAAAGAAATTGGTTAAATTATCACTTACTACAGCTTAAGAAACATCTAAAGTGCAATAAAAAAATGCAAGTACGATATACAAATGATTAATCTTTCACTACAACAGAAAAAATGATTATTTCTGTTCGTTTCTAATTGTTTTTGGTAACAGATTTATTTTGAAAGCCTTAACCGGAAGTTGTAGCATTGTTGTCATCTTATAATGTCTAACTTAACTTGATCACCTTGGTGTAGTTCCTCATTGTGGCCACTGGAGGGCAGCAGATACTCTTCTTATTCAAGGGATCGTTAACAGTCCACAAAACGCAATACATTAGTACTAATACTGATGCTACATAATATTTGTAATAATAACACTAATATTGACTTGTACACTTAAATATGAATAAAAGGCTGAGATTGTTAAATTATTCCTCAATAATTCAACTTCTTTTAGTCTTTTTTTTTTTTTTTAAGTACCATAAATATCATATCAATATCATATCTGAATTTAATCCGACAGCCTTTGCGTTATAAAGGACAATAAAATAACATTGAATCTTTGTAATAAACCAGATTTATTGTAGTTTTGTAGTTCCTCGTTATGACCACTGGAGGGCAGCAAACACACGTTTCTAAATACGGTCAGTGTCAGCGGTCAGATCCAACAGTGTAAACACAGACAACACCATACAAACGTTTCCGGTAAACCCTTTCAAACTAAAACAACTGACAATAGTAAAACATAATCAACATTAATATTTAGGGTATTATTATTATAATTATTATTAATAATAACACAACACCAAGAGACTAAACACAGAAACCCTTGAACCAAGAAGACACCAATGTCTCAAGAGTGTGTCACTGAATTGTGTAGATGGACGTTCAGAGGAAAGACTATAAAGCTCTAGAAAGGAGGGTCACAGTGTCTCTCCCTGTGGCTCCTGGTGTAAGAAGTTCAATCCCTTTCAATGCTGCAAAGAACGAGAGGAAAAGGGAGAGAAACTGGAGGAAAATAAGATGAAGAACTGAAGTTTCTTGTGAGTTGTAAGGTCACTGAGAGGCTGAAAGGCCAAACAAACAAACAACAGTCAAATTCACTCGAGTTACATGAGGTGAAAATAAGAGATTATTGTGAGAAGGAACATGGTGTTTTAAACGTGTTGTTGTTGTTGTTGTTGTTGTTGTTGTTTTCCTGCTGTTGTTGTCATAGGAAATCACGCCACCTGTTGATGACCATTAGAAAAAAACGCGATTATGCGATCACATAATTCAATGCATAATCAGCCAAAGTACGCATATTTTTTCAAATTCACCGCATAAATTGCAGATTTCTGTGCAAAATATGCAAGGTTGGCATGATTTCATAATCCCCGCATTTTCGTTGCAAAAAAGTCACATATATCTTAGCAGAAAGTTGAAAAATGTTGCGTTTACTTCACACAAGAGCAGCCATTTTCCCCTGTTGCCATGGGAACGTTATGAAGTGACATAATTACGCGACGTGAACATCGAAAAGCTACAAACCCCGCGATGAAGCCATGATGAACTCAAGGATTTTTGCCCAAAACAGTCACAGAAAAACTCTGCATTTTTCTGGAAGGACTGTATAATATATATAATTTAGTAAAGTGACGACCCTTGCTTGGGGACATATTTGATGGGTATTTCATATTAAAATTAAGAACTACAATAAACCCACAATAAAAGTGTATACTTTTCTAGCACTCTGTATTAAATTGCGACACCTTGTGGAAGCTATTGAACGACCCCTTAGTAGGGGGTCCCGGGCTCCAGGGGTTGGGAACCGCTTTGTAGCGAAGAATACAGTAAAGAGTGAGATGAAAGAAGTTGAGCTCCGTTTATATTCCTAATCGTGGTCTTCACGATCCCTCGGCCGAGAAGACGACGTGCTGCGGTAGCCGTTTTAAAAATTCCCGCTCCCGTCAAAAAGGCCTACAGTGTCTACAAAAAGCACATTAGGATGACTTAAATGTGTGTTAGACTATACAGGAGTAATGTAAGACACATACCACAGCATCACAGTGCAAGATGGTTACAGCAGCGTCTGATTGTCCGGGGGGCCGTGGCTGGCGGGTTTTGGGTCAGGGGAGCCTCAGGGTCCGCGGTCTGTGGCTGGCTGCAGAATTTCTTTCTTTAATTTCTGTGAAAACAAATAAATTTAATAGTGATGTTTATTTAAGATGTAAATTTCAAAGACGTGAAGACAGACTATGTTCTCTGCCAAACAGTCTGTTTGTTAAAACAAGTTGAGACTGTCACAAACCGCAGCCGGAGCTCCGAGGAACCAAAGCAGAGCACGCTAAGTGTGCGGTACATGCGCTGTTATTCTTTATGATGCAGACAATGTATGTTTGCTGCTCACTTGGAGTTCAATCAGACCGTAATTAGGGAGGCAGTGCTCAATGCTATTGTTTGTTTGTTTGTTTGTTTTATTCAATGTAAATGAGTTGTGTGGTCAATATTACAAAGACAATCTATCAATCAATCTCTGGGTCCTTTAACCCACCAGCCAAACAAAGGCCTCCAACCCTGTGGACATGCTGCATGGCTCAGCTGAACATGTGGTCCAGCTAGTTTAGTTAGTGCAGTCAGAATGAACACTGCCTACAACCTGATGCACACATTATCTGCACTAATAGGACACAATCTGAGCTTCAAGGGCAACATACATGAGCTCCAAACCATTAACTGTGCAAGAAATGAACAAGTTTGAACAACACTTACTTCTCTCATGAAAGAAATACCTGGCTCTTCTTCTTCTTCTCTGGATTTACTGGCAGATCACAAACAACCTCAGGGTGCACGTTGCCACCTACGGCAGTGGAGTGTGTAGCAGCCCCACAAACATTAGATGCTGCCCTAGCCATGCCTGATTGGGAAATTTGGTACACATTTCACACTTTACACACGCTGTTAAATATCTGTTCTGGATTCATGAATGAGTAAGAGAAACAGGGTGTTGCCAAAATCTGAAATGTAGTGATTAAGACTGCATAGACAGAAGTGTAGACAGGAGATGACTACCGGAGCACAGTAGTTGGAGCACATGAGGATTGTTTGGCTTTAGACTTGCCAGAAAACTGTGACGGGCAAAATATAAGCTCATTAAATCAAAAAGAGGATTTTCAGCAAAAAGACAATGTCAGGTTCAACTCATATTTTTCCATTATACATTATATCAGATGAAATTCTTAGAGTATCCAATGAGGGTTTCATGTATAAATAACACATTCGTTCTTCAAATAGCTCGGTATTTAGGCCAGCAGGTGACCTCAAAGTCCTTTAACGTTCAGTGAGCTGAGCTCTGTGGCACAGTAACAGTGATAATACCACAATCCTCCAATGACGGAGGATGGAGATTAATGTTCCACTTACAAATGTACCTGAGGATTTATTAGTGATAATGTAAATCAGCAGCGATATGCAATACAGATATTCAGCTCACCTCACTGTCAAAGGTTGTTATTGACCTTTTTGCAGAAAATCCTTAATTTATCATTCCTTAAATAAAGAAATAATAAACATCACTGTATAAAACTATATAAGCAATTACCAAATACTATTAAAACAATCATATTAACAAGAAATGGTAGAAAAATTTTTGTTTATGTGAGTTTTTTATGAAAGACAATCATTTTCCAGATGTATGTGAATACTTAAAAGGAATTAGTTAGTTGTTCTTATGCTACACAGCTGAAATAATAAAGACAGAAACAGACATACAGATGAAAACAAGGACACCAAAACTGAACATAGATAAATAAGATAAACAGAAAAAGAAAGTCTTCTTGCTGTTGAAGTTGACACCTTTGGGTTGTCGCTTGTTTGATTTTTCTCAGGTGTCAGTTGTCTGATCTTCTCCTGCTTGAGGTAAAGTTTCTGGAACCTTGAGCTTTAAAAAAAAGACAATGTCAGGTTCAACTCATATTTTTCCATTATAAATTATATCAGATTAAATTCTTAGATGAGTACCCAATGAGGGTTTCATGTATAAATAACACATTCGTTCATCGAATAGTTCGGTGTTTGACTCATTGATCGGTCACTGGTTGGGCCAGCAGGTGAGCTCAAAGTCCTTTAACATTCAGTGAGCTGAGCTCCATCCCTCGGAGTGAAAAGATCAGTGAGTGAGTCCTCACACATTAAATTTGCAAACAACACAATAGAGAGAAGTTACTTGTGAGTGCAGAGTCTTACTCTTTGATTGTCCTGTCTTTCTTTTTTTCTTCACAGGACATGCTGAGGTATTTATAAAAAGACAAAGACGAAGAAACCTGAATTAGTCATTTATTCACGGCTGCTGTTTGAACAGATCTGTCAGGATTCAGGATGCTACATGTTACCTCTAATGTATTTGGCAGACAGGATGATGATGAGTGCAACAAGACAATAAAAGGCCACTATCAGGAGCAAAATCACGTTGGGTTCTGTGAGAAAAACATTCATAAAGCAAAATAAATACTGAAAAAAGACAATACTGAATTGAGACCATCTAAACATTCACTTACTGTGATCACTCTTATCAGTCCCAGATACCTTAGCAAAACCTGGAGAATAAAAAACAAAGAATCATAAAGTATTGATCAGTCTCTGAATGTGTATGTTTGGAAGTGTTTCTCACCATCAGCAGACGACTGTTTGACCTCAGGAATCATCATAAACACCTCTATGTGAGGACCAGAGAGCACTCGCGCTGCACATACAACCTCTGGGCTGTTGCCACGGTAACCAGACAGCACAGCCCTGGTGGTGACAGCAACTGTACCGTTGGTGTTGGTGACATTGACAGAGCTGTAGTTTGATAAGTGGAGGTCTTGTTGCAGGACTCTTAATGTTACTGTGGGAGCAGGTCGACCTGTGGCCGAGCAGGACACAACTGCCTCTTCAGGAGAGTTTGATTCTCTAACATGTAGGATGGGTTCATGCAGCTCTGCACAGGACACACAGGGACACACAGGGACACACAGCACATTAATGAAGGTGTTACAAAGGCACAAAAGTCACTTGTTAATGCTGAGGTGCACAAAACGACCAATGAACAGTGTTGGAGCTAGAACAAATACTCAAGGAGGGACACAAGGCTTTTAGCAGGGCAGCATCAAATTACTGGAAACTTGATGTAGTAAGTGAAAGTGAAAACATTCTGCGGTATGCTGCCACATAAAATTCAAATAATCTGACTAAAAACACAAGGACTAATAACTCAGTTGTAAATAAAGGCCATTTTACACTGACTGAACAGCATCAAACCGGCTCATTGAGAGCAGTCAACTGTCAAATATTCAGCTATAGCTCGACTAAATTAAACCTACAAACAACCTCTTAAAGTTTTTAATTCCCACTTAACTTGTAAAACATTACTTAACATCATTCTGTCTGTTACAACATTGAGAAAACACTGACTGTTATACAAATGAGGGGGCACAGTGAATGAAGTTGGAGGGCACTGCCACCTGCTGCCCCCTCAAAGAGCCGACTCTGGCAATGAAACAGGTTAAAGTTGTAATTTAGAGGAAGTGTTTGTTCCACTGCACTACAGAAGAGATTATTAATTTGGAAATGTCTCTGATAATGCATAAAGGTTCTTACCATAGAGTTTGATGCAGGTTGTACCTGTGAGACGACCTTCAGGGGTGTTAAACAAACAGTGATAGCAGCCTTCATCCTGCTCTGTCAGGTTCCTGATAACTATGGAGTTGTTCTGCAGTCCAGCATCTTTAAACTCCACTTTATCAATAAAGTCAGGATTCACTCTTGGACCAAAGTGTTCGGAGTAGGTAGCAACATTTTTCTCCGTCCCAGGTGAACCTTTCCACCATGTGACTTGAACAACATCTTTATTTTGCATCAGCTGACAGTTTAAATGAGCCTCTTCTCCCATTGCTGCCATCACAGTCTGCTGTGTCTGTACCAGAGCTGTTAGACCTGCCGGAGATGAAGCAACAGAGAAGTTTCTTCAGCTGAGGGTGCATGTACACTTTCATACTGGAAGTACAACTTAAGTCAGATTTTTTGTTGATGCATTTCTTCTTTGCAAATATGATATGAAATATAAATCTAACTATGTTAGCGCCTTTTTGCCGCAATGTAAGATTAAATTATTCCCAAATCACAGTGTATTTTTGTACTAACAGTGCACCAGTACAGTATGTAACAGCAGGTACGAGGAAACACGATGTTAAGCTAGGAAATATGGAGGAAACTAATTGCTCTGTACCTATTCTAACATGAAGGGGTACATGAGCGTCTTTGCACACAGGTCTTAAACACTGACACATGCTGGTAAAATTTGCCCCTTTTCCAGTAAACCAGCTGACTTTCTCACAGCTGCTTCTTCCTGTCTGCTCAACTGACAGTTGAAATTGTCTGCAGATAGCTTAGAAGGTATGTGCTGAGTTTAAAGTCATGATATCACCTATAGCTCGCTGTATTATATATATATATATATTAGAGTTATAGTTAAAGTTTTTCAACGTTTGCATACAGTACATACAAATAAGTTGATCGTCCTCTTCAACCTCCTCTGCTGCAAGTTGAACACACTTCTCTTTCGCTGTATTTCCTGGAGGAAACCTCAACTGCAACTGTTGTTTTCTGCCACAGTGAGCAACATTGAACAACAAAAGCTGAACAATCTCAGGCTGCTTAAGTCCCCTTATGGAGAATAATGTTGTGTTAGAGCTCTCACATTGTGACACAAAGCAGAGACTAGACTGCTACTCTAATATAATACAAGCTGCACAATTCTCACTTCAACAGTATGGAGCCCCTATGAGGCAAGTTTCTCGTGCTCACAAGAAAGTCTTCCTGGCAAAAGACTATTATAACTCATCTTACTTTAAAGATTGGCAGCAGAGGTGGATATTCTCTGACATTTTGCCTGGTGAGTCCCTGACTACTAGACTTCAAGCTTGTGGACAAAGCAGGTGGGAAACTTTGTTGTTCTGTCTCTTCGTTGATCTCCTGTGCTTCCAGTGTTACATCCACCTCTTTATATCCGGAGATATCAGTGTGTGTTTCTGCTGCTACTCCACTTCCCCTTCCAGATGTGATTAATGACCTTTGTGGATGTGAGTCATTGGTTAGGTATGTAGGATGAGCGTGTTGATGCAGGAAGAGAAAGTAGAAGATTAACTATTGAACTATTATTGTTTATAAATTATTATTATTAGACACTGCTTTGCTTTTTTCACCCACAGAAACTCCCTTATGGGCTCCTGAACTATCACCTCTTTAAAGCAGTGAACTCCCATATGAAAGGGCAGTAAGGTGCAGAAAAAGTACCCCAAATCTTTTATAAAAAGACAACTATGTAATTTGAATTTCCTCTTTTGTTCTTGTCTGTCCCTCTGCAGTGTTAGTAAGGCGTTAGGCTGTATGATTTGTGTGTAGCCTTCCCACTGGATTTACACCCTTGGTACAAAATTTGATTGCAAACTGGGAAGAAAGCTGTACGCATGTAAGAAAAATAAATGACACAGACTTCTTCATTATGTTCTTACCTTCCTTGAAGAGAAAACTGAAGAACAGGAAAGGGAAACCTTTAAATGCAGAGTGTATCATCTTCCCACCATCTTTGAGTTCAACCTCAAAAGAAGAAGTAAGAAATTAAACATCAACTCACACAATAAGCTTTTTCTTTCTTTTTTTAACCATTTAAAAATAACCACATATTGTTGTAATCTATATTGAGGCTGAAAAAACAAAAAAACAGCTTAAGTTTGGATTCTTAGTGCAATGTAGTATATTCAATAATATTTGTATAATCTGTTTTATGAAAATGTAAAAAAAAAACCCCAAAAAACAGAAGTTTGATCACATTTACAATTTTTTGCTCTTTAGAAAAAAGGAATGATGCTGACCAAAGATAAATCCTGGTTTTAGTGGCTGATCAAGATAACAGTTTTACTGATAGTGATAGTCAAAACAAACACAGATCAATTGAATGTGTACAAAGTTATTCTCCCACTGAATTAAAACCAACCTGTGTTGAACTCCTTCTGCCTTCCTTGAGTTTTAAAAGTGTCCGGTTGTGAAGATCTCAGCACTTCTGTCGACTCCAACTAAGTCTTTGTTGTGTAAAGTTTGGTTTCACTTGCCATCCTCTATGGTTTGTAGTGTCAGATATCTGCTTTAATTCAATGTCAACGCCCTCCTCCGATGGCTCATCATCTCCACAGTAAATCAAACAGCGACCTCCAGTGGTCATCAGACATCTGCAGCTAACCTTGAGGCACAGCTGGGAATAAATCACATCTAAATATGACCATTACTATTGTTGTTGTTGTTGTTGTTGTTGTTGTTGTTGCTATAATTAGAGGCAGTAGAAAACACGATAGCAGTGACAGCACTGCCAGTAATAAGTTTAATTAAATTTAATTCATTCTTAATTTATCAATAAAGTCAGGATGCACTCTTGGACCAAAATGTAGGTGGCAATATCTATTTACCAACAATAAGGCAACCAAACATATATATGGACCTCATTATAAAATTATGACATAGGACTTTTTTTTTTTTATTTAATAAGAGACATAAACAGCATCTACTGCCCCTAATACCTCTGCAATGGCACATCCGGACCAATCAGAGAGAGACATTTTCTCTCTGTAATATTGTGGCAGACAGTAAATGAGCATTTAAGTTAATAATTCACCACATTTTGGTCCCCTCAAAAGTTTTGTTTTTGTTTGTTTTGTATCCAATGATATATATTATTAATAATTAAAGGTTCCTATCACTATCACCCCCATACATATGAATGAAATTAGTCAAATCAATCTCCTCTCAGAATGAGCCTGTATTTGTATATTTATGATCAGTTTTTCCTCTTTCTTAAAAATATATTTGTCCAGTTTTTACAGCAGGTGTGATTCAGTTGTTGTTATTGTTCTGCTGTGAGGAGCCTTAATTCTTTTAGATATAATCAAGGACAACAAGGACATTGAACACAAGTGAAATCACAACATTAAGACATCATGTTTTAATGAAGTGAACAAAAATAAATAAATCTATAAATAATAAATTATTAAAAAACTAAGAGAGTAGATCAGAGAAATCACGAAGGACCTCCATGAAAATCATGCACAGGTTAATATTTGACAGGGATTAGCACACTGATGTAAAACAGTATTAAACGCACAGCCAGCACAGTTACAGTCGTACAGTTGTCATATCTGAGGGTAATAATAAATAACATTTGTAAACAGAAACACTGAACATTTTAGTGCAAAACAAATTACACATAATATTATGCAGACAATAATATGTCTAATATGTCACATATTATGTCTAATTTAAACTTTATAGATCCATATAAATGGTTGTAGAGCTTCTCATTTTGTAATATAACCTGACTGCTTCATATCATATTTATAGATCTATAGATAGACTGAAACATTTTGCAAAGAGTAAAAACGAAAGAGTCTCCTCAAAGTGAGACTGAACAATAAAGTATAAATCTTCTTCATCTGAAGAAAAGTCAGTGTTGAACAAACATTTATCAATGATTATTGGTATTATTTGTTATTATCTGAAAAGATCTCAGTCAGTCATTACCAACTGGGAAATGCAGTACAGCAGTTTAAAAGACGTTGGTTCATCTGATCTTGAACTGGTTGCCTTTATTCTTAGATAGGAAAAGGCAGGGGAGAGGGGGGAGAGAGAGAGAGAGAGAGAGAGAGAGAGAGAGAGAGAGAGAGAGAGGGGATGACACACAGCAAAGGGCCTGATGTTGTCTTTTGAGCAGGAATGTGATGACTGCAACACAAACACAAACAAAGGACACTACCATGAACAACACAATGATGAAAATGAAATCTGTGAAAAAAGAGGAAAATTAGTGACAAACACTCAACATTCATAAAGAAACTACAGATCGAAAGGTAATAACTGAGAACACTTAGAGGTTAACTTACTGAAATAAAAGTGATCAGACCCAGATTCCTGAAACCTGAAAACCAAAAAAGACATGAGCTATATAGTATTGATCAGTCTCTGAATGTGTATGTTTGGAAGTGTTTCTCACCATCAGCAGACGACTGTTTGCCCTCAGGAATCATCATAAACACCTCTATCTGAGGACCAGAGAGCACTCGCACTGCACACCCAACCTCTGTCCTGTTGACATGGTAACCAGACAGCACAGTAGTCGTGGTGACAGCGACTGTACCATTGGTGTTGGTGACACTGACAGAGCTGTAGTTTGAGAAGTGGAGGTCTTGTTGCAGGACTCTTAATGTTACTGTGGGAGCAGGTCGACCTGTGGCCGAGCAGGACACAACTGCCTCTTCAGGAGAGTTTGATTCTCTAACATGTAGGATGGGTTCATGCAGCTCTGCACAGGACACACAGGACACACAGGGACACACAGGGACACACAGGACACACAGGACATTAATGAAGGTGTTACAAAGACATCAGCTTCTGACAGGATACTTTTTATCCAGTATGTAAGTTTTAGAAGAGATTAATATTGGAAATGTCTCTAATAATGAATAAATGTTCTTACCATAGAGTTTGATGCAGGTTGTACCAGTGAGAGCACCTTCAGGGTAGGAATTAAACAAACATTGATAGCAGCCTTCATCCTGCTCTGTCAGGTTCCTGATAACTATGGAGTTGTTCTGCAGTCCAGCATCTTTAAACTCCACTTTATCAATAAAGTCAGGATTCACTCTTGGACCAAAGGGTTTGCTGGAAGTAGCAAGAGTCTTCTCTCCCTCAGGTTTCTGCCATGTGACTTGAACAACATCTTTATTTTGCATCAGCTGACAGTTTAAATGAGCCTCTTCTCCCACTGCTGCCATCACAGTCTGCTGTGTCTGTACCAGAGCTGTTAGACCTGCAGGAGAAGATAGTTTCAGAGATGTGGCTTCAACTGAGTGTGTGAGGTAATAACCAACCAGGCTGATGTGTGTATTTCCCTCCAAGATTTTACTTTTGGGGTGGATTGTTGCAACCTAAAATTGCAGCCAGCATTTTGACGATTATTGGTTGAATTTGCACTCGATGTATGATTCATCACTAAATTAACAATCACAATGTGGTTGTAACAACTGTGGACAAAGCCAGTCTGTTTACTGATCTGCTTTTAGCACTATGGACAGCGCAACACCTGTCAGTGGCATCAACAGATGTGGTTATTGAGCTTTCTGCATATAAGGTTTATGTTTGTGAGTTTGAGAGAGAAAGAGAAAGCAAAACGCTGCTTTGTCTCCCTACCCACCCTCCCCAACACACAATGTTGACCCATGACTGCAAGCCTCATGATCGGCACCATGAATGAGGCATTGAGATGTGATAGGAGGCTACCCGCAGGAGAAATCGGTTACAGGAACAATTCAAGTAAAATGTATTAATATATGAATATATTAAAAGTAAGGCAACGCAGCAGCACAAGGACAGAAATAGAGTGCAGTCGGCTACACAGTACAGATCAATATAGGGTGTAAAATAAATAAATAATACAGGCATCTAAAACCAAAATAGGAAGAGTAAGAGTGATTGTAACTACTGTGAATATTTAGAAAAACTGTAGTAAATATCCTTTATATTTACTACAGTTTTTCTAAATATTCACAGTAGTGTTTCCCTTCAAATGAGCATCACTTACCTTTAAATAAGCCAATAAATATGTACATCTGCAACATCCTGCTCTTCTCTACTGCTGAAGCCAGGAACACTTTCAGTTTCACTTGTGAGACGACACAGATATAAAGCGATAGAGAGAAAGAGGGATGGAGGGGAGTGATTGATGGAAGGCGTTCTTTAAATGACCACATATCCGGGAATCAGAGATGGATTCATGTTGTCATTTCATTTACGATGCTGGACTATCAAGGTAAAATAAATAAAGGAAAAAGGCAAAAGTATTTTAGAAAAAAAAGAGTATCTCAATTAGATTCAGTCAGCAAGTCTATTACAAATGTTTTATAATCCTCCTCTAATACAAGATATTTAATAAAACATGTCTTACCAGCCTCTTGAAGTATCTCAGTAACACAAACTCAGTGTTTAAATCGTCTTAAACTCTTGTGTTCACTAGTTGTTTCTCATTATCTGCACAGCCCCGTTAACAGCTCTAAAATAACCTCCATGTTATTCTTTGTACACCAGAGGGATTCATAGTTAAGTTTAAAAAGTCTTTATATGATATGTTTGTGGGATTAACCACATTTACAGGCACAAAAATGACCAATAAAGAGGATTTACACAAGTTCACAAGTTTAATTCTTACTTGTTATTTTAACAAAGCCATAATATAACACTATTCATGTTCAGGCACCCTTTGAATGCTTCTTTGGCATAATTAGATGACACAAATTACAAAAACTCAAAATACTTCACATATTGTCAAGTCACAAGAAAGGAACAACACTACATACTAGTGTTGTCTTGAGTATGTACATACACTGGTTAATGCAGTATAATAGTGTGTTCACAACTGAAAAAATATAACATATAAAAACATGTACACACTAAATTATATAAAAATGGTATAAAAAAGTATAAAAAGGTATTAAAAAAAAAGTATAAAATGATATAAAACAGTATAAAAATCAGAGAAGCTGCCATAAAGTTCTAATAATTGTCACAAACGATGACGAAACAATGTACAGTGAGGAGATATTTTACCTGCAAAGCTCTGATACATCTTTTGTGTTATTTTGAGGCTCAACATGTTGAACACTAATCACCTCCTCCCACAATGACAATAAAACTGTGTCAGTCAGATTCTTTCTACAGTTGTACTGATGTTGAAGGTGATGGATTCAGGTTATCACTTGGTTCAGTCTTCACAGGCGACGGCCGTTGTCTGACCCCATCGCTCTCCTGTGTGACTGAAGATGCTTCGGCCCTTCAGATACAAACAGTGTTTCATTACTATATGAATACTGCATAAATAAAGTAATCTAAACAGGTTATACACACACAGTGATCAGAATTTACTTTACACATGCAGTAAAGATTAATAGGTAGATATAGAGACACAATGTGACAATATACAACAGAGAGAAGACAAATAATGTTGAGTTACAAGTGAAGAATGACAGTATAAAGAGTGTCTTACTTCTGAGTGTCGTTGGTTGTCGTCTCGTTCATCTCAGTGTCACCGTGTGACAGATTGGAGGATGCTGCTGCAGTTAAATCTGAACAACATTCATCAGCTCTCAGAGACTGAGACTCAGATTTTGGTTGAGAGAAGAACCTGTTCTGATTTTTGTGTTTAACTAGGAAATAGAGGAATGCAGCAATGTGACCAAAGACCCCGACAACGGAGAATACAATGATCGAAATCCAATCTGTGAGATCAAAAGCACAATTAGTTTGACACACTCAGCAGTTATAAAGCAACAACAGATCATATAGGAATATCACATCTGAACATTAACTTACAGAGATCCCTGTCTTTAGATCCAGATTCATCATCAAAACCTGTAAAAAGAAACAAAAAACATCAGAATCATAAAGTATTGATCAGTCTCTGAATGTGTATGTTTGGAAGTGTTTCTCACCATCAGCAGACGACTGTTTGACCTCAGGAATCATCATAAACACCTCTATCTGAGGACCAGAGAGCACTCGCGCTGCACATCCAACCTGTGTGTTGTTACCACGGAAACCAGACAGCACAGTAGTCGTGGTGACAGCAACTGTACCGTTGGTGTTGGTGACATTGACAGAGCTGTAGTTTGAGAAGTGGAAGTCTTGTTGCAGGACTCTTAATGTTACTGTGGGAGCTGGTCGAGCTGTGGCCGAGCAGGACACAACTGCCTCTTCAGGAGAGTTTGATTCTCTAACATGTAGGATGGGTTCATGCAGCTCTGCACAGGACACACAGGGACACACAGGGACACACAGCACATTAATGAAGGTGTTACAAAGACATCAGCTTCTGACAGGATACTTTTTATCCAGTATGTAAGTTTTAGAAGAGATTAATATTGGAAATGTCTCTAATAATGAATAAATGTTCTTACCATAGAGTTTGATGCAGGTTATAGCAGTGAGAGCACCATCAGGGTAGGAATTAAACAAACAGTGATAGCAGCCTTCATCCTGCTCTGTCAGGTTCCTGATAACTATGGAGTTGTTCTGCAGTCCAGCATCTTTAAACTCCACTTTATCAATAAAGTCAGGATTCACTCTTGGACCAAAGGGTTTGCTAGAAGTAGCAAGAGTCTTCTCTCCCTCAGGTTTCCACCATGTGACTTGAACAACATCTTTATTTTGCATCAGCTGACAGTTTAAATGAGCCTCTTCTCCCACTGCTGCCATCACAGTCTGCTGTGTCTGTACCAGAGCTGTTAGACCTGCAGGAGAAGATGGTTTCAGAGGTGTGAGTTGGTATTGTTAAAGGTTTTTACTGAAGTGTATGGAGGATAAGCAGAACATACTCGAACCATCTTTAGCCCCTTGGCATATTTATTTAACAATATGGCTCACACAGAACTGGCGCTCACTGGGAGCGTGGTGACATCATGTCCTGTACGTACCGTAAACCTTATACAATACAGCAGTACAGTATATCAGTCTACCATAATACAGGGAGTAAGGGCGCCATTAAATTACTACACTTAACAGGTATTAAAGGAGCTATAATACAGTCCTACCGAACGCTGAAGTTGGTTTTCGATTCGGCTGTTCAAGGAAAACTTGAGGGATATTTAACTTAAAGTGCTGAGCGACCGATCCTCAGTGTTTTGCTCCTCTTACTGCTGTAAAAGCTTTCAGTAAAGCCCTAACACTCTCTGAAACCCACTTTAGACTTGTCAAATCCGGACTAGAAATAGTCACTAATTTACAAAATAAAAGACCATAACATCAGTTCACACACACACACACACACACACACACACACACACACACACACACACACACACACACACACACACACAAGCCTCCACATGCATTTGCAGATCAGCTATGGCAGAAGTGAAGCAACAGTCACTGAGCTGTAACCGATCAACTGTCTGTATTATAATAATAATTAAAATTAAAAAAAGTTTGATTCTGAGTGAAACACACTGATTCTTCTCTAACTCACCTTTCTGAAAGACTCCCAGCACACACAGCACATGTATGACTGCACGGTGGCTCATCTCTGCCGCATTGTTCATCTACCGCCAATATTCAAAGGTGACAATAAAAGCCAGGTAACTGCCAGGTAAGTTCTTCATCAGGTTAATGGCTGAAAAACCAGCATATAGGTGTATCACCGCCACCTGCTGGGTGGAGTGTGGAGCAGGAGATTGGCAGGAAAAAAACAACCAAACTAAATTCTGTTAATCCTGTTATTCTTAAATAATTATTATATTATTATTATCTACTTTCTATGATTTATTTCCAAGTAGATTCTCTAGTGTATTATTATGTATATTATTAGACCTGTATAATTACGTTAGAAACACACTACTACCTCCTTACATTTCTGAAAGACTCCCAACGCACAAAGTAAATATATAAATGCACATTTTGTACCATGATTTAAGGATTTTCTTTTATTCAATAAGAAATCACTAATTAGGTGTTTGAGATATAAACAGCATGTGACATCTAATTCACATCAAACAGAGACATTGAACACAGATGAAATCACAACATTAAAGGCATTATATTTTAATGAAATGAACAAAAATAAATAAATATATGGACATAGTTTTAATAATTTATTCTCTAAGTAGTTCACAGAAATCATGAAGGACGTTCATCAAAATTATTCAAAGGTTAATAATCCAGTGTTTGACAGGGAATTAGCACATTGATGAAAAACAATATTAAACACACAGGCAGCACAACTACAACCATACAGTTATGTCTCAGGCTCCATTTAACAATAAATAACATTTATGAACACAAACATTGAGCATTGAAGTGCAAAACTGCAAGAAAAGTGCTAAATTATGTATAAAAAAACATACAATCTGCAGAAAATTATTATTATACAATTATATATTATGTCTATTATGTAATATATTATGTGTCAATTAAACTTTTTCAATAAATATAAATAAGAATTTTGGAATAAAACCTGATTGCTTCACATGTCATATTTATAGATCACACAATCTTTATTGCCATATGTCTCTCTCCGCTAGTTCACCATAAAGTCCACTAGATGGCACTGTGACATTACTGCCTCACACAGGTCCTCCTTTTCAACTCCCTTCTGTCACCAAAACACATCAGCTTGTTCTAATCTGCCAGAAGAAAAGCTTCACTATTGCACAGTCACCCTGAATAAGAGTAAATTGATTAAAAGTTGTACATGTTGATTAATTCTGCTTCAATGTAAACTCTCATGTATTTGCTTCACCTCACAGTTGCTTGAAGCCAGTCTTGTAATACTCCTATGAAACATCGGTCACAGTCCCTGTACTTTTACATTCGGTAAAGCCTGAAGCAACACTTTGCTTAAAGCTCCATGAACAAAGTTAAAGTGCTGAGGTTTTACTATTTAAAAGAAATGTGAATTAGTTAGTTTTCAAAACACTATTATGTGCTGTGATGACCTGTGGAAAATGGATCCTAGCTTAATTCACTGTTACATAGCTAAAGTATTTGGATAATGCTTGCGTGCTTGAATATTCACTGTGATGACTACAGGAAAGGTCAAATGCATGTTTCATTTGTTTTGTTGCATTTTAACCTCAAAGAGCAGAACTGCTGCTCTGGTGAGGATCTCAGACGACAGATGACGACAGTTGCGTGCAAGTATTGTTTTGTTGTGTGTTGCCCTTTGACCTGACAGGGAGAGAGAAAGAGTTTATTATACTGCATGCAGATAATTACACATAGATGAGATATTATGTCACTGGGGTTATATTCGCCCATAAGGAGAATTGCACCGTCTTACCTTTTAAACTTAGTTCCAGCAACAACAGCGATGCAGGAAATTAACAGCATGGCACAAACTATAACTGCGACCCCTGACTGAGACAGTCCTTTCACTGGAGAAAAAACAGCACATGGTCAGTGTGTACAGCAATAAAGTGAATTACTTTTACCTAAAAAGAGGAAGGTGGGGAATTTTTTTTACTGTAACACTCTTACTATTACATGCAGAGACTTCACTTCCCTGACAGATTTGACAGATTACCTCCCCAGAGAGCTAATATTTATCACTCTCTGTACAGTGACACAGGTTTTTTCTTGAAATGAAACCTAACAAGAAGTGAAACTGAATGTAATGCGTCACTGCCCAGCTGACGCACAGGGACATGCACAATCCTTTGCTCTTGGTCACACTGAGGGGAATACACATTCATACAGTGCATTCGATACAATTCCCAAACTACCTATCGAACTGGGTTCCAGGGACTTTCCTGCTTCCTGCTTCAGTAAACAATGTCATTCATGTGTTACCAGAATGTGGACTACAAAGGAAATCATTACCATTTATTACAGCATCATTGGATGGATTCACTTTGTCTAAACAAACCATTGTATTCATAATTTAAACTCTACTCCAGACACTTGGAGAACAATCCTGCAAAACAGGATGTTTGGATGACTTTTTTTCCTGAGAAACTATCATTTTTTTCATTTTTCCAAAATCAAATCTTATATGATTATAAACTCCTTATCACAAAATCCCTTCCAGTCAGTGAGGATAACTAAAGCTGGGAATTTGCTGTGACAGGCAGTGGGACTTCCTACACAGGTCACTTCCTATAGATCCAGAGACAGGTTGTACCGACTCTGTCACTTCCTTCCACTGTTTAACAATCAGTTCCTGTCAGTAAGCATGGTTTGTAAAGATACTGGGAGTTTTCTCGGTAACCAATCTTTTCAGTACGCTAGAATAATATTTACACTGGGACTTCCTGGGTGGTTCTTTTACTAATGAGCCAGAAACCAGTTTGAGACACACCCTATGTAACTCTACAGCTACATTAATACACACACTAGTGATTGTTATATATAAATTGACTGATATACATACCCTCCTGTTTAATGTTCCGGAGACTTGGAGAAAAGGGGATCCTCTCCCTCCTTTGTCCAATCATTCCCCTGTTCAGCATGCAATCCACATGTCCCTTCCAGTCAAGAGGTACTTTCAGAGTGATGTTGCGGGAGCTGGTAAATGTGTGGTCACTGTTGGCTACTGTAGACTGTAGTTGGTCTTCTTTGGTGGCGCCAGTTGAGAAGACCCACTCAATGGTTGGTGCTGGTTTTCCTGTTGCAGAGCAGCTGAACACAACCTCCTCCTGGTCTCTCTCCTCGTCTTCGCTCCTGAGGAGTTGCACTCCTGTATTCACCTTGGATATTCCTTCATAGAGAGTAAAACCTTGTCAGTATGAGATGTTCTGACAAAGATTATTTGATAACTTGAATGTTTCAGTTCCAAAATGATCAGAACTAGAAGGAAAAAGTCTACATTTTGGGCTTCAAAGACCTAATATCATGTTACAGTTTACCTTGCACTGTGAGGCAGGTCTTCTTTCTTTTGGACCCATCTGGATACACATTGAAGGAGCAGATGTAGCAGCTTTCATCTTCCCATGTGACATTCTTTACAAGGATGGATGTTGAAGTGAGGGACGCTTCTGCTAAGATCACTTTCCCAACGTAGGGCTCATTTACTTGCAGTCCAAACCGCTTGCTGTAGGTTGCTAAATTCTCAATGGAGTCATCCTTGAAAAGCCTCTGCCACGTGACCTGGAGCACACCTGGTGGGACACAGTAATCCTCCAATCAGTATGTACTGTAACACAGCTAAAAATGTAACTAAGTTACTCTAGTACTGTATTTAAGTACAAATGAGTAGTGTATTTGTACTTTCTTCTAATGCCACCTTCTATTTCTACTCCAACACATCTCAGAGAGAATTATTGTACTTTATGTTCATCTGAAAGCTTTAGTTACTAGTTTCTTTATAAATTGATTTAATTAAATACATTGTGCATATTAAACCTATGAACAGCTTAAACAATTACTCTATTAATCAATAAGTCCATTGACAGAACATTAACTGACAGCTATGGTAGCCAACTGGCAGCTGGCTTTTCTATCAAATATTTCAATAATCATAATTTATTTTGAATAATTTTGAATTTTAGTCTTTTGGTTGTACAAAACCATGTTCGTGAAGGGCTCTGGCTCATCATTTCTTACTATTTTCTAATTTTAAAATATTAACCAATTAATAACATAACATAATGAAAATAATCAATTGTCACATACAAAATAGTTGAAATGAGCTCCACCTCAACCAACAGTAAAATCCTGCTTTTACACTGATGCATGAATATTAATAATCCATTAATATAATTCTCATTCTATTTACAAACTTGTACTTCAGTAACATTTTCATTGCAGGCAAAAATACTTTAACTTCCTAACAGAGTATTTTTTTACAGTGTGGTAGGATGTGAATCCTTCCTGCGCCGCTGGTTGCACCTTCACTGTACAAAAAACAAAACAAAACAAACAAAACAAAAAAAAACCAGTTGATTGCGCACCTGTTGGATCTGCTAATACGCATTTATATCGCACCTCCCCGCCGTAGCCAGCTGTTCCATTTCCATAACCGGTGATCTGAGACGCTGAGGCTGAAAATAAAGAAGTGTCGGTAAGTCAGTTTGTTATCTTACATCAATTAATACCAAAATGGATAAAACTGTGACTATGAATGAAATATATATTGGGATTTTTGGATTTTTAATAACATCCAAGACATCTGAACATAGACAAAACGAAACATATTGTTTGTTTATAAAACCCCCATTACATATCGATATAAAGATACAGGATAAGGTGTTATTGCTCCCCTGAGGGCGAAGTCAGGAATACAGGACAGAAATACAGTACAGTGCATAGATAAATATAGAAAGCAAAAAAATAAATAATAATAAATAAATACCAGAATAAGTAAAAAAAAATACAAAAAATAAATAAAGTCTCAATTATAAGGTAAGAGTGACTGTAACTACTGTAACTATCTTAAAAAACAGACTGCAGTGAATATAAAGGTGTTTCCTTTCCAGTGTCACTTACCTTTAAACAACAAGCCAATGAGTATATAAATCTGCAACATCTTGCTCTACTCCACTGCTGTCACAGTAACACTTTCAGTTTAGCCTCTGAGAAGCCTTTTAAATATGTGAGACTGAAAGTGATAGAGAGGGAGAGAGAGAGAGAGGGTGGGAGGGGGTGGTGGTGATGGTGGTGGGTAGGTGGGAGGGGGTTCCTCTGGGGTTCTTTACCTGACTACATATCTGGGAATCAGGGATGGATTCATGCTGTTTCAATTCAACTAAACTGGGGTCACATTTCAGGAAACGTACGCTGAATATATTTTTACATGACAAACGGATCACATTTATGATGCTGGACTACATCAAGGTAAAGTGAATTTAATTGACTTTAACCTTAAATTTAACAAGACTAATGTGTATTAACATTAGTCTAACTGATGTCATTATTACTGACATCAGTTAATGAGAATACATGAGATAGTGGTGTGCTGTAAAGGGTTATTATGCAATAATAAATGCCAAGAAGCAGAATTTGTCATATATTTATTTTAACCTCATTCACACTCTTATTGTTAAAATAACTAATATCACTACTGCAAGGTCCAGTAAATTGTGCACATACTGTGCTTACAACAACTCCAGTAATCACAGGCGGTTAAAAAAAATCCCAGAAGCAGAAGTTCCCTGGTGTAATGAGGTTTGTAGTGTGAAACCATTTCCCCGTGGACTGCATGGTCTTGTTCTTATGTGCGATAACAAACATGTGATATCTGACATGTGTTGCGCCAGCAAACTTGACCTGACACCCCAAAAGTGGACTGGGGAAGTCCACCCTGATGAGAATACAGCCTGTGTGCATCAAGCACAACAGAAGGGAACAAACTTCTCAAAACTAATGAGTCATGTTGATGATCGGGAACAGTCAGTTACGTAATCGTAAAGTATCACAATAATTAATTGATTATTTTACTGTTACTTTTTATGTAAACTTAGAAAAGAAACTGGAAGATTTTAGTGTCCTCTGCTCTGTTTTATTAAAGAAAAACTGATGTATTTTAACATCATCCTGCTAATAATCCCCATTTTACCTGTAATCTCATTATGTCTTTTTATACACAACTCAGTTACATGTAATCCATTACTTCCCAAGCTTGCCTACAGCACAGAGAAAGTACTACACCTGGGGTCAACCTTTATTATCCAGAGAGACACCCCCACCCCCACCCCCCGCCCAAAAAAAGAGAAAAATCTGTGTGGAGCTGCAAATCACACGTGAGCCTTATTATGCAAATTTCTCACCACAGTTCAAACACAGCCAGTATCGTTGTTGGTGAAAGCAAACTAATCTCTCCACGCACTATTAAATTCTCTATTTTCCTCCCAGACTTTTCTTTCTTTGGAGTTGGAATCCAGAGCCAATGAGACTCAAGACTTGGAGCGACCGCTCTTAAAATACATAGGAAACAGCCCCAGATAGGGACGCAATGTTTGAATATGTATATTTTTGTTTGCAAAATGTGATGTTATGTTATTTGGTGTGTTATGGCTTCACATTGTTACAGCTTGAATGTAAGAATACAATGATGTTAAATAAAAATTGTCCATATACATTTATGTCAAAGCCACAGGGAGCCACTGGAGGGGGGCTAAAAGGCCATAGGTTGCTGACTCCTGTACTATACTGTGTGATACTTTACATCCTCCTTTACAAATTCTACATCAGGTTGTGGAAGTGTTAATATCCCATAACGGGTTTATTACCGTCTCTACCTCAAATCGGCTGCTTTGCCCATCCTCTGTTATAACACATTTGCATTTTCTGGGCCACTAATTGCAAATATTCCACATGTTAAAGTGTATTTTAATATGGGGTTAATAGCAAATAGAAAGCTATTGCTGCTTATTATTAACCTCTCTGTCCAAGGAGACTTCATCTTGGCCATGGGTGACTACTGGCAACCCATCCCCTTATGATTCAGGCGCCTTACCTGCAGTCCATCTGGTTTTATCCTGAGCACAATAAATGTGAAACTTATCAGGGAACTGGTTTTATTGGGAATTGTATCAATGGTACAGTCATTCTATTTAGAGTTAATGTTCTCTGGAAACACCACAGCCCAACAGGAAATAATGACAGTGGGATGCTAACAGATGCAGGATTTCAACCCATGTGTCTACATGGGATATTTGTTGTGCAATAGACAGGGTTGTTTATCTCTGTTGTAAGATCTTGTGTACAAAACAGCATATAGAGGAAGTTATTGCATAATTAGTCCTTGGAGTTCAGGAAAGAACCTAACAGCTTTGTAGAAGGGTTACTATAGTACCTTTACTGCCAGATACTTCAAGATGGTACAGGGGCGCCCAGACAGCTCACCTGGGGCCCTTTGCTGTGTGTCATCCCCTCTCTCCTGTTATTCTTCAGCTGTCACTATCAATTAAAGGCAATAAACTAAAAAAAATAACTGCTAATACTGTATGGAGATTTAGAAATAGCACTTCTTTGTAGTAATTATCTGAGTCATTTTCATTTTCTATATTACATTTAATCAATAAATGTGTGAATCATTGGGATTACACAATTCCAAAGTTTGGTTGCACATATGGGTTTATTGTTTTAGTGCACTTGCTTCCTTCCTTCCTGGATAATATGACTCAGTAGTGAATCCTATTATGGAAATTTCTGAAAAATATTAATTTCATGTGGGAAGTACCAGTGCTACCTGGCAGCTGACACCTGTAATTTTAAACCAGAATGCGACGCTAAAGGCATAGCTAGTGGCTTGTGGTTAAGTAATATTACCATGTGTGCAAACACTAAAACCACAGCAGTAAGATCCAGATTAGACCAGCAAGCTGCTATTATTTTCGGTCACATAAGCCACTTCTCTGATCTTCAGCCTTATCTTTGGGCACCAGCTGTAGTATACTGTCAGTCACAAAACTTCAGCTTTCTTGGTTTTAATGTTGAATTTTCCTGATTTGAGTCTTGTTGTCTCTGGAAGAGAGAATTGAAAGTTCAAATGAATTTCTCTTCTCTCTTATTTTATAAAGGACTTGACATTTATAAATAAGCTACACAATAAAATTTGCAAAAAGTTGGATTTGTATCAGGCTGTGCTTTAATAAACCTACTGAGCCCTTCATTCGTTAATCCTGATTAAAGGACCAGTATGTAACATTTAGGATGATTTAACTGGAATATAATATTCATAGGTATGTTATCAATAGTGCATAAACACCTGAATATAGGAATTATTGTGTTTTTGTTACATTAGAATGAACCTTTTATATCTACAGACATTGCAGATCCGCCATGTTTCTACGGTAGCTCAGAAGGGACAAACACTGGCTCTAGATAGCGGGTGTTCACTGCCACCATAGTTTCTCCTTTTACACTTGGAAGTTGAGGGTGAAGCGACAGAGTTGCAGTCTACAACTACACTACTAGATGTCACTAAAACCTACAACCCGGACCTTTAACTCCCACCTACACAAAGAGCAGATATTCAGCTCAGGCTAACCTGCAGCCACCATCACAGTTTATTTAGTTCCTCTACTCTCACCAATAGTCACTACTTAATGGAAGGGATTAAGGAAAGGTTAGAAATTGTTCACTGGTCCTTTAAATGTACTGTAGCAGTGGTAAAATGTATGTTAGAGTATCAAAAGCAGAAATAGTCATTAGGCAGACTGCCCCCTGGCCCTGTCAGTGCTGCATCCTACATCATATCTGATTATTATTGCTGCATTAAAACTACCTTCAGGTTGTGGGTAAACCAATAGCACGGGATCAACTTCATCTGTGTTACCTGATCCACTTCAATGTCCACTTCAACAGTAGGACAACTGAACACCATAAACTGAAAGTGATCACCTCACTACCTTACATCATATCAGTCAGTCAATCCTAATCATCAGTCACATTACAGGCAGCATGCACCATATTATGAAGTTCCTCATCTAGGTTACACAACAGAATACACATTTATTTTTGCATTAACCATTAATTAACTTGTAATGTAACTTGTTTGCATGTAGATTATTTCAATAAACCTGAAAAAAATAATGCACAAAATAAAACTTGACAGAAATAAATCTAATTTTACACCAGTAAGCAGCATTTTAACTATGGGGTTGGTCACTGTGTTGCTAATGTTAACTTCTGTATATACTGTCTGTGTTAATAGTGTAAAATCTTAATCTGAAAAGTAACCAGCAACTATAGCTGTCAGAAACATGCAGTGGAGAATAAATTACAATATTTCCCTCTGAAAAGTAGTGCAGACAAAGTAAAGTCAACATTGCACATCAAAATATGTCTGTGTGATCATGATTAGTAGTTTAAACAAAAAAAGAGGGTGTTTTAAATCTCTTTATGCTCATTAGATGGGTATAGTAAAGTGGAAAGTGAAATTCCAAATGGAGAAGTACTTTTTTTATTATCATCATATTCCTTGATTTCAAAATCAACGTGTGAGAACGCGCTTCACTTGATTTAAGCTAAATCAAAGTGAGGGCATTATTGGTCTGTCCAGAACTCTCACTGTCATCAGTCTTTGTTCTGGCTCCAATGCAAACATAGACTTGTTTGTTTCATTAAATTGAATTGCATGCAGTTGGAAAATGCAAACCTTGTAACATAGATGCTGAATTTGCTGTCCCCATCAGCTGACTCATTTCCCTTGAATCTCCCTGAATGGTGCTGAGGGAATCTGTTCTCTTGACCCTGAATAAGATCTGCTGCAAAGGGCCTGCCCGAAACTCTGATATGTAATCAAAAACAGAAAAAGAACTTCGGTAAATGCAAATTAATTGCACGCAGGCTTAACTTAAGAGTGTAGAAAATAGCAATACAGACCTAGCTGTACTTCCTCAGTAAATAAAAAGAAGTGCTTGTAGGGGAACGCCAGAGAGAAAAACAATAACAACCAAGGGTGCAACATCTGACCAAATGTAGAAAATCTTCCTTGTTCTTTGTAACAAAACAAATCAAGGTCACACAGGGGATCTTTTCATCAAAAAGTGAAAACAGTGAAAGATAATAGTGCATCCCTGATTCATGAGACACTTTTACAGACACAATTTAGCAATATTTGTTCTTTTAACTGGATGTGTTTGTTATACCATTTGCGCCATAGTTCAAGATCAAAATCCATATAGAAACTAAATTTATACATCAAAACAAATGTAAAAATAAGGTAACTGTCAGATAGCATCAGGCTGCAATATATAATTGACCTTTAAGGCACTTATTCTGAATGAGTAATAAAATGTCTTTAATTGTAAAACCCATGTAAATTAGCTCAGTTATAAACGACAAAACAAAAGCAGTAGTATTACTGCAGATAAAAGCAACAGTCCCCTGCTGCAATGAAAGCTGGATTGCATTTATTATTTTAATCAATTAAAAATGGCCACATTGCAATTCAGAGGCAAAACCTTGATATGAAAATAACTCTTTGTTAATTATTCTAATTGCAATGTGTTTATATTCAGAATATATTAAAGAGGTTGTTCTAGATGAAACCCAGAAATTTAAAAAATCACAAAGTAACAACTTTTATTTTAATTGTTTAATTAATTGATTCCGATCATCATTTACATCAGCAGTTACTTTGATATACATTATTCCTGTTTGAGGAGAATACTGAAGTTGGTACAAAGCATAACGGCGCCACCTTGTGGACAACAGGCACTGTCACACAGTTCAACATGCATCATTGCTGCAACAGATGGAAGTCTACAAAAACTTCCTGCTATGTGTGTCCTCTCCGGTAGACATGTTTGAATAATTGGCATTAGTGTTGACTCTGACAGTAGAGTAAAGCCCACTCTCTCTCCTCATGAAGGTGCTGTACGGCTCGATGTCCTGAAGCTCCTGCAGAAAGATGTAAAGTATGTATTTAAATAAATGATTCAAGTTAAATGAACTGTATAAATGAAGAGGATTTATTATTTTTCTGTACTGTACCGAGTTTGCAGGACTACTCTGTGGTACTGGATGTTTTCTGTTGGGTTAGATAACAATGCATATGAGTGTTTATTGACTCGGCGCTGTGGAGTCTATTTTCATAGACAAGACAGGAAATGAAACACCATATCTTGAGTCATCTGAAACTAGTCAAGATCCTCATAGATAGAGTATGTAGTTCATTTTAAGTCTTATAAACAATCAGATAAATATTTCATAGTTCACATATATTAAATGACTGCATGAAATTGATTGAAAATGGATTTGATTGAATAATTCTTCACTCGGAGACACAGGACCAACTCTTGGTGTGGACGAGGCTGCATGTAACTCAAGGTAACATTATAGTTGTTTAAGAGCATTCAATTAAGTTATAAAGCATTCCTAAAAATTATTATGTATGTATGTATGAAGAACATGAGTTATGCATATTAGAGAAGCCTCTCACCCAAGACGTATTCTTCTGTAGATTAATCCCAGAATAACTACAGTTATTATGGTGACTGTAGTTACACCAATCAAAACATGTAGAGTTAATGTTGAATTTCTGGCGTCTTCATCTTCTACAACATCTAAAAGAGAAAATCTGTTAGAAAAATAACACAGGTATTTGCTCTAAATGTAAATAAACCTTAAGAGGCAACTGTCTGTACACAGTAAAATGTAATATTGTATATTAAACTGACTTTTATTGCTTTAATTGCTGCATGCTTTGATAAACCTGCAAACTATAATTAACAATATAATACAGTTGTAGCATGGTTGAAAATAATAATATAGTTTAAGTATAAGGAAAAATACATAAAATATGTTTACCTTCCACAGTGATATTCAGATAGAGAGTAAATGTTCCACCAGGAAAGGAACACTCACAGGTGAAGTTCCCACTATCCACTGGTGTTAAACTGGTCAGGTGGAGAAACATAGTTTGATTCTCCATCATAAGTGTGAATCTGGAGTCACATTCAGGTATAAAACCCTTTCCAAGATAATATGTCAGACGACACTCTTCTCCTCTCATCTGTGTTCTGATCTTACAAACTACAAGTGTGATGATCTGCTGTGTTTCATTGGTGCAGATTGGAGTCACATCTGGTTTGTTCCCAATGGTTTTCACAAGAGTCTCTGCAATCAATCACAATCAAAAATCAACATGAAACACTGAGTTAGCGATTGCTGTATTTTTGCAATTTTTTTTGCACATTTTTAATTCCACTATAAAATTACAATGTTTAGTTGTTGTCTTCAAACCAACAACAGGAAGATGAGAGAAAAACAACGTTTACATGATGAGAACTAGTTTCTGTGCATTACCTTCAGCGTCAGAACTCACAGTTAGTGGCAGAAGAAGAACAAAGAACAGTCTCAGTTTTGCCATATTGGTCAAGAAACAACTGCTGCTGGTAGAGTAGAACATGTTGTACTGAAGGGAGGACACACAGACCTCTTTGCTCTGTTTTCTGTAACACAAACCTCAAAGTCTCACAGCTACGAGCTGGTGTGAACTCTCCTATAAAGGAAGTGCTGCAACAGGAGCTTCTGCTTTCATATTAAGACTCTAAAAGGTAAAACAGCAGCAAATTAATGAATACAGACAGAAAACATTCAGACTGAGAACATTTCACTGACTTCAGTGACTTTAAAGAAAACTTTAAGTGTTTTCTTTGGTTAAACTAAACTAAATTGTTATGTTTGGAAGTAAGAAAAACTTTTCATGTCTATGTTATGTGTGTCTGCCATATGAGTCATAAAATAAATATGAACTACTTCCTGCACTGCCTACAATTACAATAGGATGCTAAAATTGATATGCATGCTTCTGTATTAGAGGCCTGAGCTTGAGCTGTAAATAGAAAGTTGCATGTTCTCTGCAGCTCAAAACCACTATCTTATTCACACAGCACTGTGATAACTTGGTACAATTGTAAGTGACAAAAACACTTCTCACTTTGTGCAAGTTCACCGACATCTTTTAAATTTATATATAACTATATTATTAATGCCCCACTGCATGCAACAATGGCAGCTCTCCTGGTCACAAATGTTCCTGTAAAAACAGTTCAGTAAAATATGTTTCTGAAAGATTGCAGGAGAGAAATAGTCAACACAGTAATAACATCTTGATTCATATTTGATCAGCACTGTCTAGTTTGCAGTTTGTGTTAATCTGCACGGACTCACTGAGAATGACCTGTCAATCACAATGTAGCCACATCCTAAAGCATACCCTGCTTTATTGTCTGTTTAACTCTAAAAGGGACCATCATTTACTCAATGAACATCAGGCTGTGTGGAAGAAGACTTGTTTTTTGCAGCTCATGGAGCTCCCCCTGCTGGCCATGAGAAAGAGAGACATCCACGTTGGTTTCACTTCACAGACACAGAAACTCTGTCCACTGATGATAAAATGTCAAAGGCCATTACAGCTCTATGTCATATAGAAAACAAGGTATGTATGTTAGGAAATGTAAATGGTCCACAAGAGGCTTTATAGTTTATTACTTATTAACCACTGCAGTGATTTTAAACAGAGCAGATTATTGTGTACATAAAATATACGTTTACATGCAGATGTGCTTTAACAAACTTTAATCTCAGAATTTTTTATCACAAAAACCTTTACATTAAATTGTAATAATGTTGGATATCCTCAAGAACTGAAGGCCAGCAACCATCAGCAGCTACAGTGTCAATAAGTAAAGAACATCCACATATTACACAGCTCTGTCATATCTATTCTTTGGTTGAAATGTTTTCATAGATATCCCAACTTGAATCAGTCTCTCCTCCGTTTATTTCCTGGTTATCGACGGGGACAGTCATTAATATTCTGGCTGGATTTGAGATAGTTTGGTATAGATCACTTTCTGGTTGCTGAAGGCTTGTGTAGAGGTCATCAGGGTCAGCAAGGTCCTATTAAAAGAAATATCTTAATGGATCATGTATTAAAAGTATGATTAAGTAATGTTGAACAAAGGCTGAGACACTCAAGAGTCAATACATTTATTGTCTCCACTGAATTAAATACACTGATCTTCAAACTCTGTACATCCTTTGTATTTTTAGAACATAGATACACATATAAATGTATATTTATGTATTTATTATTACAAACATTAAACTGGCTGCTTTCTGAGTTTATACATACTTGCGAATACATTACTCACCAGAGAGCCAGGAGGTTCACACACAGATAATCCAGATGTTGTTGACCTTGAACAGCTTCTTTAAATAAGAGGAGAAAAAATATGTAGAAGAATTAAAGCTTATCTTCATCTTCTAGAAATGTGCAATAATTAAATAATAATAACTGTCAGGAAAAGGAGTTAAATAGTGTAAAACAAACATCTACTCTGAGTGAAATATACAGTAAATGCACCAGACTATATTTACATTTAGGAAAAATGTTTTTCCACATAAAAGTAATAATACAAATTGAGTTGGATCCAAAAACATGTGAAGTATTGCAATCATAAAATTCTCTCACCCATTAAATTTTGTCCTGTAGATTAAACCCAGAATAACTCCAGTTATTATGGTGACTGTAGTTACACCAATCAAAACACTTAAAGTTAATGTTGCATTTCTGACGTCTTCATCTTCTACAACATCTAAAAGAGAAAATCTGTTAGAAAACTAACACAGGTATTTGCTCTAAATGTAAATAAACCTTAAGAGGCAACTGTCTGTACACAGTAAGATGTAACATTGTATATAAATTAAAGTGAAGAAATGAACAAAGATAAAAACAAACCTAATTATATATTATATATATAGCTGTATACTCTGATAAAGGTATAAACTATAATTAACAATATAATACAGTTGTAGCATGGTGGAAAATAATAATATAGTTTAAATATTAGGAAAAATATATAACGTGTGTTTACCTTCCACAGTGATATTCAGATAGAGAATATATGTTCCACCAGGATGTGTACACTCACAGGTGAAGTTCCCACTATCCACTGGTGTTAAACTGGTCAGGTGGAGAAACATAGTTTGATTCTCCATCATAAGTGTGAATCTGGAGTCACATTCAGGTATAAAACCCTTTCCAAGATAATATGTCAGACGACACTCTTCTCCTCTCATCTGTGTTCTGATCTTACAAACTACAAGTATGATGATCTGCTGTGTTTCATTGGTGCAGATTGGAGTCACATCTGGTTTGTTCCCAATGTTTTTCACAAGAGTCTCTGCAATCAATCACAATCAAAAATCAATATGAAACACTGAGTTAGCGATTGCTGTATTTTTGCATTTCATAAACATTAAAATCACATTTTTAATTCCACTATAAAATTACAGACAGTGTTTAGTTGTTGTTTTCAAACCAACAACAGGAAGATGAGAGAAAAACAACGTTCACATGATGAGAACTAGTTTCTGTACATTACCTTCAGTGTCAGAACTCACAGTTAGTGGCAGAAGAAGAACAAAGAACAGTCTCAGTTTTGCCATACTGGTCAAGAAACAACTGCTGCTGGTAGAGTACAACATGATGTACTGAAGGGAGGACACACAGACCTCAATACACTGTTCTCTGGTTCATAAACCTCAAACCCTCGCAGCTATGAGCTGGTGTGAACTCTCCTATAAAGGAAGTGCTGCAACAGGAGCTTCTGCTTTCATATTAAGACTCTAAAAGGTAAAACCAAAGCAAATTAATGAATACAGACAGAAAACATTCAGACTGAGAACATTTCACTGACTTCAATGTATTTTTAAACAACTCTAAGTGTCTTGTTTGGTTAATACACAATTGTTTGGAAGCAAGAAACACTTTTCATGTCATATTTGTCTGCATAAGCTGTCAGATCATCAAACATCAGGTCTTCAGACAACAGTTTGAGCTAGATCCACTAAGGGTCCAACCAATATTAACTACTGCCTGCACTGCTTACAATCTGCGTGACTAGCGAGATTTAAATGTCACGTAGGATGCTAAAACCTTTGTATTTAGAGGCCTAAGCTTGAGCTGTAAATAGAAAGTAGCATGTTCTCTGCAGCTCACCACTATCTTATTCAAACAGCACTGTGATAACTTGTTATAACCTGATACAAAGTGACAAAAAAAACCTCTCACTTGCTGCAAGTTAACCGACATCTTTTAAATTTAATCTTAACCAGAATTTTGAACTATATCAATAATGCCCCACTGCATGCAACAATGGCAGCTCACCTGGTCATAAATGTTTTAGTATAAACAGTTCAGTAAAATATGTTTCTGAAAGATTTTAGGACAGAAATAGTCAACACAGTAATAATATCTTGATTATATTTGATCCGTCTAGTTTGCAGTTTGTGTTGATTTGCACAGACTCACTGAGAATGACCTGTCAATCACAATGTAGCCACATCCTAAAGCATACCCTGCTTTATTATCTATTTAACTCTAAAAGGGACCATCATTTACTCAATGAACATCAGGCTGTATGGAAGAAGACTTGTTTTTTGCAGCTCATGGAGCTCCCCCTGCTGGCCATCAGAAAGAGAGACATCCACGTTGGTTTCACTTCACAGACACAGAAACTCTGTCCACTGATGATAAAATGTCAAAGGCCATTACAGCTCTATGTCATATAGAAAACAAGGTATGTGTGTTAGGAAATGTAAATGGTCCACAAGAGGCTTTATAGTTTATTGGTTATCAACCACTGCAGTGGTTTTATACAAAGCAAATTATTTTGTACATAAAAGATACGTTAACATACAAACGTGTTTTAACAAACTTCAATCTCAGTATTTTATATCACAAAAACCTTTACATTAAATTGTAATAATGTTGGATATCTTAAAGAACTGAAGGCCAGCAACCATCAGCAGCTACAGTCTCAGTAAGTAAAGAACATCCACATATTACACAGCTCTGTTATATTGATTCTTTGGTTGAAATGTTTTCATAGATATCGCAACTTGAATCGGTCTCTCCTCCGTTTATTTCCTGGTTATCGGCGGTGACAGTCACCATTTTGCTGGCTGGATTTGAGATAGTTTGATAGAGATCACTTTCTGGTTGCTGAAGGCTTGTGTAGAGGTCATCAGGGTCATCTTGGTCCTAATAAAAAAAAATGCATCTGACTTAATAATGTTGAACAATGGTTGAAACACTGTCTGCCCTGAATCAAATACACTGATCTTTAATATCTTTGCATCCTTTGCATTCACACACATACAAATCAGGAGTATCACTGAGGTTGGATTAGATAAAATCATCATCAAGTCCTGAATCTAAAAATCTTGACTTCCTTTGTATTTATATTCATGCAAAATGAAGTAGACAAACTGCCCCCACAGTGCAAACCAAGAAGATTATTGTGGTCAGACTGAACATTAAAATGGGCAGGAATTGTATGTACGAATGTAGTTAGTCTGGAAGAGATTATCAACTAAAGACCAGAAATATAATGCATATTGATGGATATATTACTACAAACATTAAACTGGCTGCTATCTGAGTTGACAGGTACAGGTACAGGTACTTGTAGAAGAGTATAAGTACCTGGGGGTCTACTTTAGTTATAAG